ATTGCTTAGCTGTTAATGGAACCAAACTGAATCATGTCCCGCACACGAATTTATAATTTGCAATTATTATTTGTAAGCATGCCTCATTTCTGTTTGTGAAGATTTCACAGACCGCAATACGGTCTATAAACATTATATATTGCCGGATCTAAAAGCCAGTCAGTTTGTATTTATTTTACAAGCTCAGCTAGGTATGTTGTATTTTGTATTTTAATGAAAATCTAAAATTCGATTTATAAGATTAACTTACTGTAATTTGAAGCTTTTACTTAGGCTAGCTCTGATGCCCGGTCAGACTGCTAAAGCTCCACACCTACCATGTGTCAAAGTCGGATGCCATGCCGATTTTTATGGGGCCTCACCACCTGTCCAGCTGTCCTTCCACCGAAGGGATGCAAGCAGCGCAACTTTGTCAACACAAATCGCGACTATCCCGCTTGCTGCGAGCGAGCTTATGATTGCAAGAAACGCAACTGAAACTCATGTGGCAAACTACTCGAATCATATAGTTTTTGCTATGGAGAGATCGTTTCTAGCCACCACGGAAAGGAACCCAATTCAGTTTTAAACCAATTTTTGGAAAATTAAATTTTAATGAGAATGCAATAAAATATTTATCACAATAGTTCCTTTTCCCTTAATTCGATAATGCAGTCGAGTTACCCTTTTGCAAATCGTCAAACAAATACAATTACGGCGCTGAAATTGGAAATTACAAAACGATGGCAAATAGAACAGGAACAACAATAACAACAACAAATAACTGTTGAATAATAAAGTGTATAAAATGAGAAATTCCCTGCGAAACAATAAAATGGCTCTGGCAACAAAACAAACATTCGACAAACACAGCAGGGACAAAAAATGTTATTAACACAAATAGAAAATAAACAAAAACGAGGGGATCCACCGAGAAAGCGACATTTTGGATTTCGTGTGCTTGTTTTGTGTTTATTTTTGTTTGTGGGACAACAGCCGGGCCGAAAATAAGCTACAAAAAAAAAAAAGAAATTTGCATAATGAGGCTATTATAATTTCAATTAAAATTTCTCTATGCCAGGATTTTTTCGGCTGTACTCCCCTATGAACAAACACGGTGCATGACTAACGACCGCAGAACTACAACAAAAACTGAAAATGTTTTGGAAAAACCAACGCCTACCCCTGCCCGTGGGCGAAACAACAAAATCAACAACAAACACCAATCGTTTTAATTACATTATAAATTATGCAAGCAAAGTATGTGCTAAAAAAAGGTTAGAAATGTGTGTTAGATGTGGAATTATAACAAATTGGGTCGAACATGAAGGTTCTTGGCTGACTTTTTAAAGAGGAAAGGGAATTTAAGTAATATTTCGTTATTTTTGCTATAAAATTTAATTTAAATTGAGTTCTTAACTTGGATTATAATATACTTTTTAACTTTATCCGACATATTACTATTTTTATGCTATAATATAGGCGAAACCGTTGAAATTATGATAGATCTTAAGAATCTTTATATATATATACTTCATTCAAGTGGTTAATATGGGTTCAGTGTATTGTAAAAATGCAACAAAGAAATAACTAAAAAACCGTTTAAATATTAATTTATATATATACCTTTGATACTCCTTTTATAAGATATAAATATTACATAGAAAGCCTCTCAGTTTAAAGTTCCATCTATTTTTGAGAGCCGATCCTGAATCAATAACCTTCTTATGGTTATGCTTAAATGTGGGTACCAATATTTAAATTGGCAAAACAAGCAGTGGCAAGCCGCAACATTTGCATACCCAAATGGGCTAGCAGCGCCCCATCTTTCCATGCCAAAAATAAAACTGGCCGTTGTTCAGTTGGCTGCCATATTTCGAAGCCTGCCAGTGTCAATGCAGGCGAATGTCATAAATTTCGCATGCAGACGAAGAAGATGCAGCCCCGCCCCATGCCTCTTTCTCCATGCCTCCTGCCACAGCCGCCTTCGATGCAACTGCGGCGCATAAATTCAGTTCCAATAAATTTAAATTAGCAGAATGTCAGGGAGGTACGGCTCCGGAACAGTACAGTTACACGAGACAGGGCCGCCAAGTCTGCTGCACACAGTATTTATGGCTCCATTCCGGGGCGGATCGCGGGCACAAGCTGGGGAAAAGCACGACTAGGTGCGACAATGTAATGAGTGTGGTCCTGCGTCCCTGTCACCACACCTAAGCACATTATGTTGTTGCTAATTAGCGTTGTCTTTAGACGCAAAGGATACACTGGGGGAAGCATATTGTCATTAAATTAGCTTACAAATCTCTCTAAGTTCAAAGAAATTAGAAATATTTTAAACTTGTATGAAATACTTTACTGTTTTTTTCCTTTTTTAATGATAGGATACTTTCCAGCTAACGTTATATGATTTTTATAAAATTAATATCAATGTTTCCATAATAAGTCCTTAAAGTGAAGACATTTGAATTCCATGGCTATAAATATTGATGAAAAGTATGAAATTATTCACAATTTCTGTTAGCTTTCTAATACTCTCTACTCCTAAAACAATAACTTTCATTTGAAAACCTTTCTTTGCATTTTCTGGTAAATATGGAAAACACAATCTAATTTCACTCAGAATGAAGGCCAACAAATGCCAATCAAGCGTATTTATTCAACGAATCTGACAGGAAAATTCGCTGTGAAAGGTGATACACAGTTTTCTTGGACTTCTTATCTTTTAAATTGAGTTCGTGATTTTCCATATGCCAAAACAAATCAGAAAAGAATGAAGAATAGAAATGGAAATGACTTCTTCATCGAGCTGAAGGGTTTGAGGGACATTTGTTAGACTGTCAACATTAAATATTAAGAGAGCATCCTCGACGATGTCAGGCAAGTAATTTCTCAAATTGCAAATGACTTTGCAATGGTCTAAGGGTGTAAATTTTAAAGTGAAGACCCTAAGAGATGGTGCCGAATTTCCGAATGCAACTTGTGACTTATCCCACAGAGCAAATGGTCTGAGCCCCACCAGAGTCATCAATATAAAGCAACCACAACCGCAGGCAACTAATGACTAACTGCATAAGTAAAGCGAGATCAAAGCCTTTTTTCAATACCATATCTTGCAATGCCCTTAAAAAGATGGCAAATATGGCGAATATGTAATGGGTTTATAGGACAAAAATGTCATTAGGTAATAATAATTTCTATTATTCCTCATTTCAGATATAAGAATAGTTTCTAACTTTCAAGTTACAATATAGTAAAAAGTAAAAGTATATATAATAATAAAGCAATGGATTATTTGAGATCTAGAAAATATCCATAATACCCTCTGCCAGGGTATAATGAACCGAACATTTTGGAGAGTTCCTCTTCCAGCGGGCCAGTAAAATAGTCCCAAATGTCCATGAGCCGAAGCCACCAGCGCAGCAGTTTATCATTGTGAGAAAGAGCCCCAGGCCCAGTCCGTCTTTCCGTCTTGCTCCCACATAGCAGCCGTCTCTTTCGAGCTGCCGAATCAGCAATGAAGGACAACGATGTCAGCAACAGGAACAAAGGATGACCTCCGCCGCCAGCACTCTGTAGCACACCATGGCATTCCATTTATAAACCACCAAAACGAGACGATGACGACAACGACGAGCATTGACCAGAGAGCAAAAGAGACAGGCAGAGTGGGGTAGAGGAAAGAGATGGTAAGAGGAAGTGGGAAAAGGATGGGCAACTGCAAGAAAATGCCACAAAACTGTTTGGTTTTCTTGCATTTTCAGAGCCGCCCTTCCTTCACAAATCCCCAAACAAGGAGCAAGGAAAACAACGCCTGACAGCTGACATCGTGAGGAAGGAGCACCCGAAAAATATTCAGGGCCCATTGTTGGTCTTGAGTTCTCAGGATTCTGTACTGGACAGCTGAAAAGTAAAAGTTCGTCATTCAATCTATGCGTGTACTTGATTTCAGCCACGCCAATGACAACTTTCTCTTGAAATATTTGTCTCCCTTAAAACTCAAGAGCTAGAATTAACGAGGTTTAAGATTGAGTTGTCTTAAAATTAGAAAAAAATTTAACAAAACGATGAATACATTTGTTAAAATAAAAAATAAATTACAATAAATTTCAATTTCAAGCCCACCATTACTTCCCAAATATTTTATAATTAAATCATAAAAAAGGGTAAAAACAAGAAATAAATTTACCTCTGGCATCATATCATGTATAAAAAAGGTTTTCAAGCTATTCTTCCTGGGAAACATTCTTTCGGATTCGATTATCCTTTCAAAATAATCTCTCGGTTGGGTTAACCTGACCCGCATTACTATAAATATGCACTCCGTTCAAGGATATCCTCAAGGACCGAGACCTGACCTATTCCAAGCTCTGACAACCAGATCCGAAGCCAGCAAAGCGTGAAATTTCAATTTAACCCATTAATAAACCCAGCTGAAAATTTCCAGCGAATGCAATCAGAGGCACACAGAGAGAGAAAGCCACAAAAATAGACAATAGTCAAAGGCGCAGTGTTCCCCACCAACTATTCATATCCCACACCCAGTTTCCCGTCCAACTCTTTGGTTAGTCATCTCTTGAAGCGGCAGCGGCCACAAAACAACTTTGGACTACATTTCACAGGAGCTGCACACACACACACATACATACGCATACATATACAAACGTAGAGAGACAGCGGCTGCCACGCCCACAATTTAGACGATTTCACACAACAGAATGGGATAGAAGGCGGGGCGCATCGGGGGTGGGGCAGCACTTCCGTTTCCGCTAGCTTGCACTGATTGTTTTATATCCTGTCAGAGGACACGCCGTTGCCGAAATTCACAAACTTGTTTTGCGCTTTCTTGGCGACTTGACTAAGAAGCGGCCCGATGCACTAAACAAAAAATATTTAAAAAATATAGAAAAAGTATATGACAAATTAGAGGATTTATGATCTTGTACGTTCTATCATTCTTAAACTTTACTCATAACACGATAAAGTTTAAATTTGTTTTAAATCTGGGTATTATAATTCTTTTAACGCTCTATATCAAGTTCCCTTTCACAACATAAGTGTCCAATGTTTTTTTGAGCGTAGTGCGATGTTGACTTGGTGGATTTTGGGTCCCTTGACTGTCGCTGCATTGCTGCGGCATTTGAATGCGGTCCTCGTCCAGTGGCGTCCTGCGAGAGAGCCCAGCATCCTTGCATATTTAATCAAAGTGAATTACAAATGCCACCAGACAATGACAGTGGCAACTTGGCAAATGACGATGGAGTCGACGCCTTTCACGCCCCGTCCTTATCAATTTGAAAGTGTTATATATAACACCAGGACCAGCGCCAGGATAATGTTTCATTGTTGGCTAAACAGCGGGCAAGCAAAGGAGTGAGGCTGTTGTAGCTTGTAATTTGCGTTAGCGAGATCAAAAAGCATTCAGTTAATAATAAGACGAGCAGTCCATTATTTAGCCATTGATGAGGACCGAGCACTTGCCGAGTCCTTCCACCTAAGAAACGCCGCTTTCCTTCACCCACAAAAAGTTAATTTATTTCTTTTTCTCAGCTCCTTTCCGGGGAACCCAAAAAAAAATGAGAGAAAGAATGTATTCAGAGAAAGAAGGAAAGTTAACTTTATGGTTTGCACCTTTTTTCCCTGTGAACGAAGAAAGTACGCTTAAACTTCCCTTACCTTTGCTCTTTAGGGGCTTCCCCTCGCTTAACCCAATCCCAGTCCCTGGGGCGACAGTTTAATAATTACTCATTTTGCTTTTTTAACAAAATTACTTTGTGAAAAATGGCAAAGTTGAATGCAAAACGGTTTCCATTTTCTATATAAACCTTTCTGATTTTCATTTCAGTGGCTTGTACTTCATTTACCCTTTTCTTTCGTGGCTTGATAAGATTTTCAATTGTTTTTCGAGGTTTCCATTTTTTGTTTGAAATATCGTATTTAATTAAAAAGACTTGACCTTTCTTAAATGTTTTTAGGAAACATTTAAATTATAAAAATAATTACAAAATTTTATATATAACGCTCTACCGTATTTCCAAACTTCTGAATAAACAACTTTTCCTGTTAAAATTACTTTCACTGGAATTAGTTTTCCCAGGCTAGACGGCAACAGAAAAATCAAAAACCAGACGCACGTGGCAAACTGAATTTTTCCCCGAAAATATTACAAGGCAATGAGAAAAATATATTTTCCCCTGACGCCATTCATTCGGAATTCTACATCCCTGCCTAGGCACGCATAATTTTTGACGCATAGAAATTTGTCTGAATTTCAAATTCAAAATAGTTTGGCCACACAAGTGAATGAATGAAAACCCTGTGGGTGCAATAATAAGGAAAAACAGAGTAAGTGGACCCAAGACATGAAACTTTCTAGCCGGACCCAAAAAAGAAAACATTTTTATGCACTGCTGTGGGTTGGTATCGTTTTATGGACTTTGATTTTATGACTACTGCATATTTGCCATGTGTGCCTGGCCGGAGGTAAAGCCGGAAAGCCTTCCTGCCAGTTTTCCTCCACTTTCCATTTTCGGCTGACAGCTGCTGCGGCACTTTCAATTAACCCTTTTGACATTGAATTCACTTGATACCGTTGAAGCTGCTCTCACTGGCTTAAATCGAGATTAGAATGCTGCAAATTTAAGACCACACCCACCAATCCATTTCCCAAGCGAAGGCCTCTGTATAATTTAATAAGCTCCTCCATGTAACCAACTCGCAGAGCCTGGCTCCCATCCTTTTCCACATCTCTCGGTTTAAGCCTATAATTTACAATGTTTCGGCTCGTCTTGACTTGGCAACCCTATTCCTTTTTAAGACACAGGAAAGGAGGCAAAAAATTAACATTTCTTTGCCGTCGCTTACGATTTTCCGTAAGCATTTTTTAACTGGAAATTAAAGTGCGCGCAAGTGTAATTAAGTAGCTGCTCAAGTTATACGAGCAATCCCTTTCTTGGCTATTTCTCAGCGGGCCAGTCGACTGTAAATGGGTTAAACTCTGGGGATTTATGACAATTTTTTAATTAGTTGACGCTGCCGTCCGACCGCTTTCGTTTTTTTTTGCACTGCCGTATTAATCAAAATCGTTTACCCGTAAATAAAGTTTCTTCAATGGTATGCCTATACAAGAAAATTTTGAAATACATATGCAAATATCATAACTTTTAGGTATTTGTGGAAAATTCTTGAAGAAAATTTTATTTTCATTTCAATTGTTCAAAGTTTCTGTGAATGTGTTATGTGTGTGGCTCACGAATTTGTTGGCATTGATTGGAAATGTAAGAAATATTTTCTGAAAGGTTCGAGAAAGTTCACAACAATCAAGAATAATTGTGGAAAAGTTTCCTAATGAAATTTTAAAATCTCGGTAACATTTGGCTTGAAATCACTAGACAGGGGGAAATGGTAAAGGTTTAAAATTCCATATTCAATATTCATAGTCATTAACTTAATAATACTTTATTATTTATTTTTATTAAGAAACGTTTAATTAAAACTTTTGCACTCCCTTATTTAGTTTATGAAAGTTAAGATCATATTATAATTATTATTAATTATCAAATTATCTATGGATTATGTTTATTATTAAGTTCTTAAATCTTTAATTTTGTCCCAACAACTAGGAGTGGCTTACCTCTTTCGGATTAAATGAAAATATTTTTCCTTCCTCTTTTTCTACTGTCACATACCTTTGCATTCTTCTAGGCAAACGCGAAATTAAAAGCCACATAAACAATTATATAGAGTAAACATTTTTTCTCGACATTCCAAAGACGACAAATAAACAAAAAGACTTCAAGCAAAGAAAACTATACAACTTCTGTATTTAATATTTTAAAACGTATATAAATTTTTATTGTTTCTCAAAGAATTTGGATTCTTTTTTTTGATTCATTTTTTTGAAAATATTTAAAATTAACATTGTAAAATTCCACTTTGCAGTATTATATGGACTATTGATTAGAATGATAATTAGAAAAGTTAAGAGACTGTTTTCCAGTATGACCAGATAACGTATAGCGAAAATCACTATTTTTGGTAAGTTAATTTTAAGTGCCACTACTTACATATATAAAGGAGTTTCCCAATAATATTTTTTTAGTCAAGCAACAAAAAAATGATTATTTTTATTTTATCATAAGACTTTTCTATTTTTTGCATGTTAAAAATGTATAGTAAATATTGTTGAAAACATTTATCAATCAGAAAATAACTCATAAATCATAAAAAGTCGCAACTGAAAGAAATGAATGTATTTTCCTATACACTTGATTGCCGGTAAAACACATTATATACGTTTTTACAGAGCAGCTTCAAAATGTTATTCACCAGTTAACAGCGTGACAGTAGAGAAAGCAGTGTAAGCAGTTCATGTTAGCTGCGTGCGCGACTTAAATTTAAATGTTAACTTGATTGCCGCCAATTTAAGGCGGAATTTTTGCGCAGTTTCTATTAAGCCCATTACAGTAGAAATTGCATGATCTATAACCCCGATCATTAATGGCATTTTTTTTGTTTATGCCCGCTAGCCATTGCCATGAGGGCATACAGCTTCAGCTTCATTAAAAAGCAATTATATACAAGACACAAAACAGCTGTCTTTAGCGAGCACCGCAGCTTATCAGTCGTGATATTCCGCTTCTATATTCTCCGCCATATGTTTCGGTGCATCGAGACCAACTCATATCGCGATAAGCGGGTGTCGTGATTAAAGCCAACTGAATCGAGGCTGCTGTGAGTTGAGTTTCGGAGTTCTACGGCCAGTCAAACTGATAGGTCGGATTGTACGGTTCTCATTGTTCGTTTCAGTTGTTCCCCGTCGATCGCGACCTGCGGAAGTGTTTTTTGTTAATCAATATCGTTTACCACACCGCAGAATACCGTTCATTCTGATCCGTAATTTTAAAATATTCCTAAAGTTGTAGTAAAAATAATCAGTATCGCGAGCCATGGAGATCAGAGTAGGCGTAGGCGATCTGCTGAAGATGGGAACGAAGTAGGTCGCCTGTAACAGTAAAATCTCTCTTGGGGCGACGGACATTGGCCCCCGAAAATTGTAGTGTTTTACCCAGTCAAATTCTAGTGTGCCAGTAAATTCAAGGTTTAATCACAAAATCGATAAGGTTTATTAAGCTTCACAATAATCACAAATACTTGACTTCAGATTACTGTGCAACAATGTTGTTATTTTTTTCCAATCAAATTTTAATATACAATGATGACAAAGACAAACAATGTTGTTATTTTTTTCCAATCACATTTTAATATATATATTATATATATTATTCTTTAACAAACAGTGTGAAAATCTGAATAAAAAAAGTCAAAATTCTCCTTTAATATAAATTTCTTTAAATATTTTAGTGACAACAAATTACGTTATCCCTTTAAAAGGACTCTTCTCTTATGGTAATGTTATATTGTTTTTCGTGTCCTCTAGTCAACTTAGTAGCCTATATAAGGAGCTACTACTGTATTCAATTGATGTCTTGTTCCCCTCTCACAGCAATAAGATAAGAAAAGCTTATAATTAAACTCAATCATCGCCCAATTTCAAAAACCTTAACCCCTGGCGAACCTTACCAAAAAAAAGCTCGACATTAAAAACTAAAAAATCTTTATAGTTGTAATAAGTAATGAGTAAATGTAATTAAAATTTTTAAATTTTTAAATAATTTTTTTTTTCCCCCACAGACTTATTGGACATAAGATCGTCCAGTACCGCCTGGCCACCAAGCAGACGAAGGTGGTCTGCACCAGAGATGGACAGTTGCGAGGACTCCGGCGTCGAACGCTCTACGACGACGAACTGTACTTTGCCTTCGAGGGAATCCCCTTTGCACAGCCGCCGATAGGGGAATTGAGGTTTCGTGCCCCTCAACCCCCTCGACCTTGGGTTGGTATCAGAGATTGCACTTATCCAAGGGCCAAGCCCATGCAGAAGCACTTCGTCCTCAGCATTGTCGAGGGCAGTGAAGATTGCCTGTACTTAAACGTATATTCCAAGCGTTTGAAATCGGACAAGCCACTGCCGGTGATCGTGTGGATATATGGCGGTGGATTCCAAATCGGCGAGGCAGGTCGAGATCTCTACAGTCCAGACTACTTTATGCAGCAAGACGTGGTGGTGGTCACATTTAATTACAGAGTGGGAGCACTGGGTAAGTTGTCGGAAAGTCTTTCTAGTTGGGGAATAATAAATCAAAACAATTTGCAACTTTGTATAAAGCTGTTTGAAACTTCGATAAACTAGTTTGAGAAAAATTATAGTTTATAATAGCGTGATAAATTGATTCAGACTCGTATTATAACAAAATGACTAGAGGTGGAACAAAACAAGTATTATTGTGTTGTACAATTATCTAAATGGGGTCCAAGCCCTATGAGAATACTGTAAAAAATAACTTTATTACTAATTCTACAAAACGGTAAAAAAAAAGTTTTATATATTAATCTAATTTAAATTACTGTTAGTTGTTATACTGAAACAGAAGGAGCCTAAAACACTAAACAGTTATTAAATAAAAACATTATATTATTTTAGTCCAAAGAAAAACGTGGCTTACATGCTTTTTATCCACAGTTTTAATAGAATTAATCACCTTTAAGGAAGTCAATAAGATACAAATTACTTGTTGCATTGAAATGCCAATTTCAATAGGTAATAATTCACAGATAGTATAGTTTAATTGCCCGCAACTGCCACTCATAAAATTATTAGCATTACAATTAGTGTCGCTCTAGCTATTATTAAATTAGAGAGGGACCTATAACAGGCAATTATTTTTACGCTAACGATCAATTATAATGAATCTATGTAAGATCATGCAATATAACTGTAACAAAAAATCTTTCGAAGATTTTACATCTGTTGATTTATAATACATTAAATTTATTTTAAGTTTTTTTCTAAACCAAATTTAGTTTTTCCACTTAAGGAAATATTCAAATATTCTAATAAAATTCTTTACCATAATTACAGGCTTCCTTAGCCTCGCGGATCGTGATTTGGATGTTCCTGGAAATGCTGGCCTTAAAGATCAAGTTATGGCCCTCCGGTGGGTCAGTCAGAACATAGCCCAGTTCAACGGAGATCCCCAAAACATAACCCTGGTTGGCGAGAGTGCAGGAGCAGCATCGGTTCACATGATGATGACCACGGAACAAACACGGGGACTCTTCCACAAGGCCATTATGCAATCGGGATCCATGTACTGCGAATGGGCCAATGAGCCAAGTGGCAATTGGGCGTACCGCCTGGCCTGTCAATTGGGATACTCTGGAAGTGAGAACGAAAAGGAGGTACTTCGATTCCTTCAAAAAGCCCCCGCCTCCGAAATGGCCACCCAAGGTGTAACTCTCGTCTCCCTGGAAGAACAACGGAATTACGTCTTGTTCCCCTTTACCCCCGTGGTGGAACCTTATATAACGAGGGATTGTGTTTTACCCCGTTCCCATAGAGAGATGCTGCCTGCAGCTTGGGGTAATGATCTTCCGTTGATCCTGGGTGGCAATTCCTTCGAAGGTATATTTTCCTACCAGTCTACCCTGCACGATGAGGAGCATATGCTGAGTGCCTTTGAGGCCTTGATTCCCCGCGAGATCAGGGAAAAGAGTTCCCAGTCTCAGCTCAAAGATCTCCTGCGTCAGTTTAAGATGGACACTTTCGAGGATGCGACTCGAGGGCGAATGGAGTTTAATGAGTGCCTGCAAATTTTGTCCGTAAAACACTTTTGGCATGGCATCCATCGAACTGTACTGGCTCGTCTCAGCCACGCCCCCACTACGCCCACCTTTCTATACCGCTTCGATGTAGACTCGCCCCATTTCAATCATTTCCGGCAAGTGATGTGCGGGAAACACATTCGCGGAGTCAGTCATGCCGACGATGTGTCCTACCTATTCTACCACATTTTGGCCAGTAAAGTGGAGAAGTCGTCGATGGAGTACCAAACTATACAGAGATTGGTGGGCATGTGGGTGGCATTCGCGCGAAACGATAACCCCAATTGTCCACAAATCAATCCGACCACATGGGAAGCCTTGGATGAAGGCGGCCCACAGATGTGTCTCAATATTGGAAAGCAACTGCAGTTTGTTGTTCTGCCGGAATCAAAACAAAATCGGATTTGGGATAAACTCTATGATAAACACGACTTGATTTAAGGGGAAGTTTGTATATTTTGTAAATAAAACGTAAATGGCTTGTGAGATTGAGAAAAGTAGAAATTTACTTGTATTTTTCATGAGTAGTAATAAATATTTTAAAACTTAGGTTCAGAGATTTTCATATAGACATTTAGAGCAATTATATACAATGTATAGCTAGGCTAGCTAAAGGTTATCGCACTCATAACGATGCGAAAAGTAATTCGCCCTTGCAGTTAACTTTCCATTAAGTGAACTTAAGCTTGACCCTCACTGTGACTCGACGATGCTTTCTGACTGCAATAAGCGATGGGTGACCCATTTAGCCTATAAAATTAATATCTCTGTTGGACCTAGAAAATAAATATTTAAAAAATAAGAAAAATCATGCACATCATTTTTTGGTTTATTTCAAATATGATTAATCATTTTCATTAGTCATATAAATTTCCATAACTATCTATAAAAAACTAACTCATATTAATTTGCCATCATTTCTTCCACTTTTTCGGTAGATTAAAAACATAGATTAAGAATTTCGATTAATGAGCTCCTTTTCCGCCCAAGATAAGAAATGAGCAAAAAGAATTTATTTCAAATATTTATTTTGGAAGACACTGCAAGTCCTAATCTTCATTTCTATTTATAAATTTCGTACTTATAAATATGCCAGACTCATTAACAAAATACGTGTTTATGTAAGTCACACGTTATCTACGAATATAAACAAAACTCATGATGATATTTCAAAATAGTAGGTGTAGAAATTTTATGACACTTATTTTAAGTCTTGAAAACAAATTACTTTTATAGCAAAAATTATATAAAATATATATATTCCTACCGCTAGCAAATATTTTAAAATTAAAGTTATTTATAACTTTCAGTTTTACAATATTTTTAGGATTATTCGGAAATAATGATTTGAAATTTAGAAAAGATTTTAGAAACTAGACTATCTACATGAAAAGGCAGGAATAGCCGGAATAAGTGTACACTATAAATCTAAGGACTATATTAGAGCTTCTTTGGAATAGAACGTATCCCACACTGCCATTGACTCCGCCTCCGGTAATTCCCGCATTTCGAGTTCATGACTGATATTAAAACACTTCTCTACTCCGGTTTCCATCAGCTGGACGGGTTCCCACTTAGCAGTTCCCAATTCCGGACAATTTGGATCCCCACTATAGGCAAAAGCTGTCCACATGCCCACCATCCTCTGTATTGTTTGATATTCCATCGATGACTTTTCCAGTTTTGTGGCTATAATGTTGTAAAAAAGATATGATAATTCATCCGCATGGGCCACTCCACGGATACGATCGCCGCAAACCAAACGCCGGAATTGATTAAAGTGCGGAGAATCGAAGTCGAATCTATATAAGTAAGTAGGAGTGTTGGGAGCATACGACTGACGGGCGTGAACCAAGCGATGCATATCGTGCCAAATTTGACGATGTGAAAATATATTCAAAGCCTCAAACAGCTCCATCGTATCCCGCATCTCGTTGTTGAAGTAGAGTTTTTTCAAACGCCTGACAAGAAGGTCCTGCTCTTCCAGATTGCTGGATTGCCTCACCTCCCTTGGCAGTATGTTGTGGAAATTCTTCAGACCCCAAGGATCATTTCTCAGCACTTGGTAAGAGAACAAGCCCTCAAACGAATTTCCACCCATAATAACAGGAATATCGTTTCCCCAGGCTTTAGATAACAGCTCCTTGTGTCTCCTGGGCACCACACAGTGGTCGGTCTCATAAGTCTCCACCACTGGACCAAAGCCAAATAGTAGGAAAGTCCTAATCTCATCCTGGGTGATGACGTCCTGGTCAATCGCCGCTATCTTACGGGCAGGGGTATTTTTGAGAAATTGTAGTACATCCTCATCCCTCTTGCTGCCTTTATAACCCAAATTCAGAGCCAGCCGGAAGGCCCAATTGTGATCCGGACTTTCGACCCATTCGCTGAGAGCACATCCCGATTGCATAATGGCCTTATGAAAGAGGCCGCGTGTTTGCTCCGTAGTCATCATCACATGAACGGATGCCGATCCTGCACTTTCTCCCATCAATGTGACATTATTTGGATCTCCGTTGAAATAGGCTATGTTCTGACTGATCCAGCGGAGGGCCATTACTTGGTCCTTAAGTCCCGCATTTCCAGGAACATCCAACTTTGGATCTTTTAGACTCAGGAAGCCTAAGTTATAGATAGATAAGAATCATTAGACAGTTTGCAAATCATTTAATTTAGAATAATATATTAAGGAACTCAAGAATAGAAAATATAATAATCTGCACATACTTTTACTTAAATTTACATAGTTCAAAACAATTGCTTTGTATATGATTTTTTCTATGTTTCTATATAGGCTAAAATGGTTTCATTCTTAAACCTACCAATGTTTGAAACTTTTCGATTAGCTCAGTCACGTTTTTAATGATGTTTTTATAACTTTTAGATACATTGTTGCAACCCATTTGTTTCAATAAGCAATAATCTATCAATAAAAAGATTGTGAGTCTTCAAATAAAAACTTTGTACTGAAATTCGTAATCCATTTAATTAATGAATGAGATTACTTTTGATACTGATAAGGAATAATTATGTTATCAGTGGGAAAATACAGTGTAGCGCTAGAAATACTTCCTATTAATATAAATTGTAACTTTATACCTATCATCACTAACATAGTAATACCTCTTGGAGTTACTTATTTAAAAGACTGGTTATTAATTGGTTACAAATGAAACCAAAACTACTTACCTAGTGCTGCTAACCTGTAGTTTATAGAGACTAAAATCACTGGTTGCTTCATAAAGTAATCAGGACTGTAAATATCCCTGGAGGCCTCTCCCTTCTGGAAGCCCCCTCCATAAATCCACACAATTACTGGTAGGGGTTTTTCCGACTTCAAGGTCTTCACATAGACATTTAAATGCAAACAATCTTCACTGCCCTCCACTATCCCCAAAAGCATATTCCTTTGCAGGGGCTTTGATCGATTGTTAGTACAGTTGAGCACTCCTTGCCAGGGTTCAGGTGGTTGAGGAGCCTTAAATCTTAAGTCGCCCATCGGAGGCTTGGCATATGGTATGCCCTCGAAAGCGAAGTACAACTCCTTATCGTAGACCGTCTTCCTTTGGAGTCCTCGAACCTGTCCGTATTTGGTGTCCAATACCACGGTGTGACCCGTTGAAAGGCGGTACTGCTGAACCCTGTGGCCCACCAACCTGTGGGAGAGATTGAATGGGATCGGAGGTTACTGTCTGAAAGTTCTGTCTCGGGCGATAAGGAATTAATGACCAAGCCTTCGATCCCGGAATCATTAACTTGACCTTGTACTCACTGGGCGCCCATCTTAAACATCTTTGGCCATCCCACTTGCACTTCCATAATTTTGTGGAATTTTTATTTCTTGGGTTTTTGTGTTTTTGATTATGTACGAATTAGTATGGTTGCATCCACAATTTTTGTGTGAAAATGCTCGCGGGATTATGGGAACGATCGAAGTTTTACGTGCGACTGATCGCAGATATTTTGCCGTAGCACCTTAAATTAGGAGAGACGCCGACAGCACTTCTAGACGACCCAGCTTATTCGTAATCACTTACAGTTACGGTTAGGCAAATAAAATTTTTAAAGGTCCTAAATACGGAATACTGTTAAAAGTGTTATTTTAATTTTGTTGACCCCAAAAATGTACTTATTTGTTAATGAGTTTTATAATGAATCGTGTTATGACTTTTTATCAAATGCAATTATATTATTATCACAATACATTAATGATTATAATTTGAAATATCGAGAATACATAATATTGACCGCAACTGTAAGTCTATGTGCATAAAATGTAGTATTTAGAAATAAAAGTTTATAAATGTCTATGTACGCGTAAAGAATATTTACGTTTTGTTTTAGTACATTTTATGAAATAAAATATCAGAACAAAAAATTGAAAAAATTTGTATTTATTGCAATATTTTTGTTTTCTTGTTATGTACTTTTAAAAATTATTTTATGAAAATGTTTTTAATCAAATATTTAATCACTGAGTTTATGCAAATGCATAATAAATGATATCCTTTTCATTTATTTTTTATTTTAAGTTTTTTCATGTAATTTTGGTCCTTGTCGGAGATATTAGTCAGAAGTTCTTTTTTTGCATTTAGTTTTCATGTTTGATATTATCAATAGACAAGTGTTATTCCTGAAACTAATGGCTCCCAAAACTGATTTTTGTGGTGTCGGGCACTGTTTGTCTCGGACGGGAATTAATAAGGAATGATAACAGTAAGCACTGGGTCTCGCCAGGACCGAAGGTACCGATTTTCTAAACATGGCCAAGGGGCTGTACTTTTGGACATTCTGATGTTTGCTCAAATGTACTCTCCGATATTCTATTCCGTGAAAATTATGCCAATTTACTTCCACTTTTGTAGGACTTGTTTTCTGTTTACTTGCTGCAACTTTTAATGTTTTCTATATTGTAGTGGTAAAATTTTCGAAGCACCAAACCGACCAACACATCTGGTAAACCAAATAGAACTTTTAAAGCAAAATATTTGAATACAAATAATTTTAATTTATGTAATCTGTATTTAATTTATATTTATTTAATTTAACGCCCTCCTTGAACCCTGAATTCTTTGCACAAAATGTACTTAACTTAAATGTGTGTTTACATTCTTTGATCTATTCTGAATAATTTTGTAAGAAATTTCATGAAAATTTATGCTAGTTGTCTTCTCCGCAACATTTGGGTTTGGGTGCGTGCATCTGTTTTTGTGTTTTTATAGATCATGTGAGCATATCTTAACCCAAAATGCGCAATATAAATAGAATAGCATCCAAAAGTACTTTTATAATACAAGTTTAAAAAGCTTTACTTTATTTATAATAGTGCAAAAACAGTGGTCAAATCTATAGTAAATATGTGACTAAAATAGTTGTTATTTTTGTACTTTTGTACTACAACTTAAATGATTATTTACTAATTAATAAAAAAAATAGGGTACTAAATCACGAAAGAAAAGATATATTTTTTAATTAATATTTTTTCGGAAAGGATTTACTTTCAGTTAAATCATAAAATTCTTATGGTGAAGTAAAATGACAAAGTATTCTAGGAATTACTGCATCTGGTTTAGGTATACACTTTTTTGGGACTCCACTGTGTCTGTTAGGAATAAAGCTTTTTGCTGTAGATCGCAAAATACTCTCTCTGTATGTTGACGCCGAACTCAGCTGATAATAATAATAATAACAACAGCCCAAACAACAACTAACGCAGTAACCGCAGAGCTTTGCTCTCACAGAGACACAAAAACCAAGCAAAGCAATCAACAAATCAGCTGTCTCGAAAAAATTTGTTTTTTCTTTTCATTTTTCGCAATAAAAAGAGTCATAAATGATTTTCCGTTGCTAGATAAAAAGTGACGAGTGTGGAGCTAGCATTTGACCGTCGAACATGGAGAGGTGAGGTCGATAAAACAGTAAATATTCCGGCGTGAGTTAAAGGCTCCGGTGTTTTGCAGCTTGCAGGTGAACACGAGTAGCGGACCGGTGTGCGGAAAGCTGTGTATGGGTGTTTACGGCAATGAGTACGTCAGTTTTGAGCGTATTCCATATGCGCAGCCGCCGGTGGGTCCGCTACGGTTTATGGCACCGCTGCCCGTGGAGCCCTGGTCTCAGCCATTGGATTGCACAAAGCCGGGCCAGAAGCCACTCCAATTTAATCACTACACTAAGGCGCTGGAGGGCGTAGAAGATTGCCTGTATCTTAATGTCTACGCCAAGGAGGTATTACTGTTCTAAGTATCTAAGTTTTATTGGCTATAGGAATTATTATCAAGTATACAAGGGCTATTACGCACGAAATATCATACCAAGCATTTTCTTAAGCCCATAAATTTAGTTATAAAACAAAAAGCTATCGCTGATAAATTTATGTTTATAAATGTACTAAGTTGGTAACTCATTTTCAAGCTAAGCGACTAAGTTAGTAGTTCGAGATTGTATTTTAACTATCGATTTTTTTTACCTAGGACCTAGTAATGGAAAGTTTATTTAGATAACCTCACATGCAAATGGTTTTAGTTAAAAGCTGAGTCATACTAGTATACTTGTCAGAGTGCAAAAATGTTTATTAGTTTTAGAGATATAGCCAGCTATAGTAGCGATTTGTTCAGATAAGACAGAGCAGACATATTAGCTTTTAAAGATAGCCACAGTCGAACTTCGAAATTAAGAATTTTTTTTAATTTTATTTAATTGGGTTTTTGCGAAGATTGAACAAAGAATTTTAAAACTTTTTATGGTTTAACTTAAAGCTTTAAAAAAAGGTTTCAAATATAATTATTTTTATTTTAAGCTCAACTCGGCGAGTCCACTGCCGTTGATAGTCTACTTTTTTGGCGGCGGTTTTGAAAAGGGCGATCCCACCAAGGAACTGCACAGTCCTGACTACTTTATGATGCGCGATGTGGTCGTGGTTACGGTTTCCTATCGCGTGGGCCCTCTGGGATTTCTGAGCCTGAATGATCCTGCCGTCGGAGTTCCTGGAAATGCTGGTCTGAAGGATCAGTTTCTAGCAATGAAGTGGATCAAAGAGAATGCGGCCAACTTCAATGCGGATCCCAAAAATGTGACTGCTTTTGGCGAAAGTGCCGGAGCTGCCTCTGTCCATTATTTGATGCTAAATCCTAAGGCTGAGGGATTGTTCCAAAAGGCTATCTTGCAATCGGGAAATGTGCTCTGTTCTTGGGCCCTGTGTCCCATCAAGGATCTGCCCCATCGGTTGGCAGCGAACTTGGGAATGGAAAGTGCCGGAACATGTGACCGATGCCATGGTTTTGGACTTCCTGCAGAGTTTACCAGGGGAGAAACTCGTTCGACCATATCTACTTAGTGAAGCGGAGCACTTGGACGACTGCGTCTTCCAGTTTGGACCCATGGTGGAGCCGTACAAAACGGAGCACTGCGTACTGGCCAAACATCCGCAGGATCTGCTTGGCAAGGCTTGGGGAAACAGAATTCCAATGCTGATAAGCGGCACTTCCTTCGAGGGGCTGCTGATGTACGCACGGGTGCAAATTGCCCCATATCTGCTGACTAGCCTAAAGAAGGAACCGGAGCACATGCTGCCGCTGGATGTAAAGCGAAGTCTTCCCCAGGCTCTGGCTCGACATCTTGGTCAGCGACTTCAGGATACCCACTTTGGAGAAAGCGATCCGTCATCCATGTCACCGGAATCTTTAAAAGCTTACTGCGAGGTAAGATAGCTATTCTAAAAAAATAGACTCTTTATAAATCTTTACCATTTTGATTGGAAATTATATTTCAGTATGCCAGCTACAAGGTCTTTTGGCATCCCATCCTGAAAACTGTAAAGTCTCGGCTTACCAATTCAAGGGCTGCAACCTACTTGTACCGCTTTGACTTTGACTCGCCCACGTTCAACCACCAGCGATTGAAGTATTGTGGCGACAAGTTGCGGGGCGTGGCCCATGTCGATGATCATTCCTATCTGTGGTTTGGAGATTTCTCCTGGAAGCTGGACAAGCACACGCCCGAGTTCCTTACCATCGAACGGATGATAGACATGGTGACAAGCTTCGCAAAGACGTCGAATCCTAACTGTCAGCTTATCAAGGAGCAGCTTCCTCGGACCAAAGAATGGAAGCCTCTGAACATAAAATCCTCTTTGGAGTGCCTAAACATCTCGGAGAGCATTAAACTGATTGAACTGCCAGAACTGCAGAAGCTAAGGGTTTGGGAGAGTGTCTGCCAATCATCAGACTAGTCAAGATTAAAGAAATCAGTAAAGCCAAATTCATAGCGTTCTTAAAATTGTTTTTTAGAAATTTTTTTTATCATATTAAATATTTTTAGATGGTGTATCAAGGTGTTTTATATGGGTTTTACAATAAATTTTGTTGCATTACGTTATGGAGATGTTAGTAACGTAAAACTAAACTCAGCGGTTTCCCATGTTTTTACTTAAATATTTTTACCTTGAGTATCTGTAATTAGTATGATAACGAATTCGTTGTTTTAGTTTTGTCTTATTTCATAGTTTGATTTTTATTGTTGCAAACTTTATTAAACTAAATTTAAGATTAAGAATTTAAAAGTATTTTTCTTTTTCAAAATTCTTTTAAAAGCCCTTAAAGAGAGCCCAATCTCTGTTTTGGTTTCCGTCACCTTGTTTATGTCCAGCAAATTTACCATCGTTCGAGATACGAGACCGATCCGAGTATTTTTAGGTTGATAAGCCACGGCAATCGATTAAGGTCTTCATCGCCTATTTATGAGAGAAGGCAGTTAACGCTAGAGACTGCTGGTGATCGGAGATGACGGACGAATAGTAGGAGACTTATTCCTAAAGTTAATACCTACTTTTTTATACACCACTTATGACTTTTCAGCAAGGAAGTTTCTCCTGTGGTCCAAACGACCCATGGAAAAGTGAAGGGAACACTTCTGAAGGGCATCTATGACGATCAGTTCTACGCTTTTGATGGCATTCCATATGCTGTTCCTCCACTCGGAACTCTCCGCTTTAAGGAGCCCCACGCTCTTAAGCCATGGCATGGAATTCGAGATTGCTCCAAGCCATTAAACAAGTGCCTTCAAGTTAGCTCCGTAACCAAGTTGGTGGAAGGCTCCGAGGACTGCCTTTACCTTAATATATCAGTTAAAACTGTGAGTCTAAACCTTTGTTTGATTATCACTAATTAAAGTCTATTTTAATTTTGGGAACCATATTTCCTGTTATTTGTTTAGCTGATCGGCGATCCTATGCCCATAATGGTTTATATCCATGGAGGTGCCTTTAAGGGCGGTGATTCTTCGAGACGGGCTTGGGGTCCGGACTATTTTATGAAGGAAAACGTTGTCTATATAAGCATTGGCCATCGGCTGGGACCATTGGGTGAGTTTAAATCGAATTAACTATTAGAATTAAAATCAATCAATTTTTTTTTTTTATTTTTTTCAGGTTTTCTGAGTTTTGAGGACCCAACTCTAGAAATTCCCGGCAATGCTGGTCTTAAGGACGTAATATTGGGTCTTGAATGGATCAAGGCAAATGCTGTTAACTTCAATGGAGACCCTGATAGAATTACTATTTTTGGTCACAGCTCCGGCAGCATGACCGTTCAATTGCTGTTGGCAAGTCCCCGAGCAGAAGGACTGTTCCACAGAGCCATACTTTTGGCTGGAATATCCCTGGAAGTCAATCGTCTGCCGCAAATGGAATACCGTCTGGCCAAACATTTGGGATACGAAGGAGAGAACATCGATAGCCAGGTTTTAGAGTTCCTTTTGAAGGCAGATCCGCATCTCCTCGTCTCTGCTGATTTTTTTACTCCCGTGGAGAAAAGTCAAGGGATTTCTATGGCCTTCAGGCCGAGTATAGAGAGCTATGTGACTCCAAATGCTGTTCTTTTAGCGGAACCCATTGACCTCCAGCGAACATCTTGGAGCAATCGAATTCCCATCATCTTGGGCGCCAACAGTGGCGAGGGCATGACTGTCATAAACTTCTTGAAATTGAATCCGACATGGCTGAAGAACTTTCAGCACAATCCAGAGCGTGCATTACCGTGGACCCTAAGAAGTCGCTGTGATCCCGGCCAGCGGCGTCAGTTGGGTCAAGAGCTGATCCACCACTTCTGCCAGGCCCACGGACATGAGTTGACTTTGAATCACGGAAATGCTATAATGGACCTCTTTAACCATGGCTTTGTGCATACATTAGACCGATTGATCCAATCCAGATTGACTTACGGGCAGGCACCCACTTACCTTTATCGCTTCGATTTCGATTCCCCGGACTTTAATTTCTACAGGATTCGCTTTATGGGTAAAGAGCAGCGGGGAGTGGGTCATGTGGACGAACTGGGATACATTTTCGTGCTCCCCGCCACCTTTAAGTTGGACAAATCTCGACCAGAGTTCACTGCCATCTGTCAAATGGTTGCCATGTTTGTTCACTTCGCAGCCACATCAGATCCCAATGCTCCACTAACTAAGGAACTGGTGGAATGGAAGCCAGTGACTCGATTTGGCAAACGAATGGTTCTCAACATCAGTGAGGAACTAAAGTTTATTCCCCATCCAGATATGCCGAAGCTAAAGTTTTTCGATCGTCTTTATGAAAAGGCCGGAGTGCCATTATTTTAACTAAAAATCGATTGTTCAAAAATAAATTTAAAGGAGTATTAATCATTATAAAATTATAGTATATTTTCCATTAAAAATTCTTAGGTTTTCTATCAAATAATACAAATAAACAATCAAATATTATTGCTAAAAAGTACTTATACTCTAATCACGTATTACAAACATTTTAAACCGTAAAACCTAAATTAGATTGCACCAAACCTTTTAATTTTTATGTTTATTGAACTTTGCTTTTGCGGCTAAAATTGTTGTTTTCTGTGTGCTCAAGCCTTTGACAATTCACACTTTGAAATGATAACGTGTTGGAACGATTAATGCCAAATGGGTGAAAAAGCTCCGTCACCACACACGTTATTTCAGCCCCCTCTGTGAGGAATTGAACTTTTTGTGTTGGTTTCGCTTTGACTTTGCAAATTCATTAGGCTTAATTCATTCGACAGACGACAAGCACTGCTAACAGACGTTTGCCAAAATGTCGGAGAGGTGAGTTTTTATAAACTATAACTACCAAGATTATTATTTATTGACTTTGGTTTTTATTACAGTTTAGAAACATGGGAACTTTCTTTGCCCCTGGGTCAAATTAAGGGCGTTAAACGACTTAGTCTCTATGATGACACGTACTTTAGCTTCGAAAAGATTCCCTTTGCGAAGCCCCCACTGGGAGAATTGAGATTCAAAGCTCCAGTGCCAGCAGAACCATGGAGCGGAGTGTTGGACTGCACCCACTATGCGGAGAAGCCAACCCAGAGGAATTTGTTGACTAGAGTTATTGAAGGAACAGAGGACTGCTTGTATCTGAACGTCTATTCTAAACAGGCAAGTGAACTAGATATACTAACATAGTCAGTGATAACTACTACATTTAAAAGTAGTCTCCTAATCAATTATAATAATTGATAGCTAATTTATTTTGCAGTTGAAGAGTGACAAGCCATTGCCGGTAATGGTCTACATTTACGGCGGGGCCTTCACCGTGGGCGAGGCAACCCGTGAACTGTACGGCCCAGACTATTTCATGGCCAAAGATGTGGTCCTGGTAACGCTAAACTATCGCGTCGATTGTTTGGGTGAGTCAGCAGAAATTGATAGAAATATCTTATCAGCACTTGTTAAGCGGTTGCTGGTGCTTATCTTGTGTTATCTTCGGGTTCAAAACTTCAACTTTCAAATCTAGTTTTATTGTCAAAGATGTTTATCACATTTAGAAGTGTTGATTAGAAATGTTAGAACTTCTAATTTATATACACCAGTATAAACATCAAAAACCTCATCGTCTTAAGCCATTGGGATATGATAGAAAAAAATATATAATATATTTATACTTCATTATCATTTTTATACTTTGACTTTTAAACTTTAAAACATTTTTGATAAAGCGAAAAATAATTATACTTTAGTTAAAATAATACATATCATAATATGATGTAGGGAAATAATTTTCAATTTTATAAAATTTTTGCTGATTTATAAAAGTTTAAAAAAAAAACAAGAATCCCAAAAATACTCTGTAAATTTATTTTATTATATTATACATTAAATATAAAAATCAATATTATAATTTGAGTTGTATGTCTTGCAGGATTTCTGTCCCTCAAGGATCCCAGCCTGAAGATTCCCGGAAATGCAGGCCTTAAGGATCAGGTTCTGGCTCTAAAGTGGGTCAAGCAGTACATCTCCCACTTCAATGGCGATGAAAATAACATTACCGTTTTCGGAGAGAGTGCCGGCGGATGTTCCACCCACTTTATGATGTGCACGGAACAGACCAGGGGACTGTTTCACAAAGCCATTCCCATGTCGGGAACAGTGCACAACTACTGGTCGGATAATCCGAGTGAGGACTTTGCTTTCCGCCTGGCGCAGAAGTATGGGTTCACTGGCGAGAATAACGATTCTAAGGTGCTAGAGCATCTTCGCGGAGTTCCGGCTAAAGATCTTGTGAATCACGATCTGTTAGGACCTCAACACCGTAGGAACGGTCTGATCTTTGCCTTTGGACCTACTGTGGAGTCCTATGTGGGTGAAGATTGTGTGGTTCCCAAGCCACCAGTGGAATTGGCAAGGGATGCCTGGTCCAACGATATACCCATCATGCTGGGTGGCACTTCATTCGAGGGGCTTTTTATGTATCCCGCAGTATCTGCTAATCTCAAGGGATTGGACAACCTTAATCAGGACCCTTTGAGGCTAGTTCCTAAGGATGTCCGAGAAGTAAGCAGCGAAAAGGAAAACCTGGAGTATAGTCAGCGTCTGATCAAAGCCTACTTTGGAGAATCCCCACCCAGTGCAAAACTCTTCATGAATATTCTTGATGTAAGTAGACAATATACTTCTTTTTCTGCCCCAAATTTTGTGTTGTTTCCAAAAGATATTCAAACTATTGTTAAACCTTGAACATTAACAAGATAAATAGTAGTTCAAGTTCAAATCTGTTTACTTGATGAGATTATTTATCTAATCTTTCTTTATCTTTTTAGTTCTATTCCTACAAGGTCTTCTGGCATGGTTTCAATCGCACACTGAACGCAAGACTCGCCTATGCTAAGGCGCCCACTTACTACTACCGCTTCGACTTTGATTCTCCGAACTTTAACTTCTATCGGGCTAAGTTCTGTGGGGAAAACATAAAGAGTGGTGTGGCCCATGCTGATGACCTAAGCTATTTGTTCAGGAACGCAGCAGCTTGGAAACTGGAAAAGTCAACAGCGGAATATCGCACCATTGAAAGAATGGTTGGCATTTGGACAGCTTTCGCAGCGACCTCGAATCCGAACTGTCCGGAAATTGGTAATTTGGATTGGAAACCATCGACCAAAGATGATCCCAAGCGAGTTCTTAATATCAGCACCGAAGTTACGATAGTCGATTTGCCCGAGTATGAAAAACTTCAAATTTGGGATGGTATCTATAAACCGGACCAACTGATCTGAACAGTGAAGAATGCTAAAAAGATGTATTACCTTACGACCAATTAATAAACACAGTTTTTATGTCAATTTAACTGCTTTTGTAAATGATTTTTTTCCATTTAGAAAAAACATGTTTAAAATTTTAAGAATGCTTAAACGAGGTAACAAAAAACACCTAGTTAGTTGTCAAACGGAATTCGTAAAACGCGAACAGGATCCTTCAGGCCGAATTTCCTGGTAAACTTTAGGAGGAAATCTTACCACTCTTAATCTCCTGGCAGGGATTTACCTTTCTCAGAATCCATATCCAAGCAGCAAGCTGTGACTCGCGGGCCAGGTAGCCCTTTCCTGGGAAGCGATGTCCGAAATCATGGGTAAATACACGCCAAATTGAACTTTATTGCCGATGATTTCCCGGAGCAGCAATTTTCTTACTGTGAAATTACGAATAACTTAGGTTAATAAAGGACGTTAACCAACCAGGAAAATAAGCTGCTTACATGTTAAATGTTTAATGTAGGAAATGAACAAAATATTGTACATTTTAGATTAACCCCTTAAAAAAATTTCATTATTAGTTAAATAATAGTTTTTCAAATCAATTGAAAGTTAAATTGTGTCTCCTAATCATGAATAATAAAAATACTATCTGGGTTTTTGTTTTTTTTTATTTTCTTGTTTCGTTCGCTTTAGAATATCGCAGAAAATTTACGTTTGCGAGTGGGAGCGTGTGAAAATAAACAACGTTTTGAGGAATGTAAATCCTCCCATCCACTCTAGTACTCCTCAGCACCTTCGCCCTCGCCGTCACCAGAGTCCATGCCGACCTCCTCGTAGTCCTTCTCTAGAGCAGCCAGATCCTCACGCGCCTCAGAGAACTCTCCTTCCTCCATGCCCTCTCCAACGTACCAATGAACGAAGGCTCTCTTGGCGTACATCAGATCAAACTTGTGATCAAGACGAGCCCAGGCTTCAGCAATTGCCGTGGTGTTGGACAACATGCACACGGCACGCTGCACCTTAGCCAGATCTCCGCCAGGAACGACGGTGGGTGGCTGGTAGTTGATGCCCACCTTGAAGCCGGTGGGACACCAGTCCACAAACTGGATGGTGCGCTTCGTCTTAATGGTGGCGATGGCGGCATTTACATCCTTCGGCACCACATCGCCGCGGTACAACATGCAGCAGGCCATGTATTTGCCGTGCCGGGGATCCACCTTGACCATTTGGTTAGCAGGCTCAAAGCAGGCATTGGTGATCTCGGCCACCGACAGTTGCTCGTGGTAGGCCTTCTCGGCGGAGATGACGGGGGCGTAGGTAACCAGCGGGAAATGGATGCGGGGGTAGGGCACCAGGTTTGTCTGAAATTCGGTGAGGTCCACATTAAGGGCTCCATCGAATCGCAGAGAGGCGGTGATTGAGGACACTATCTGGCCAATCAAACGGTTCAAGTTGGTGTACGTGGGTCGCTCGATGTCCAAATTACGGCGGCATATATCATAGATTGCCTCGTTATCGACCATAAAGGCGCAGTCCGAGTGCTCGAGGGTGGTGTGAGTTGTCAGGATGGAATTGTAGGGCTCCACCACGGCGGTGGACACCTGTGGGGCTGGGTAGATGGCGAACTCCAGCTTTGACTTCTTTCCATAGTCCACGGAGAGACGCTCCATCAACAGCGAAGTAAAGCCAGAGCCAGTACCTCCCCCGAACGAGTGAAAGATAAGGAAACCCTGAAGACCGGTGCACTGATCGGCCAACTTGCGGATCCTGTCCAGAACTAGGTCAACGATCTCCTTGCCAATGGTGTAGTGACCGCGGGCGTAGTTATTGGCCGCATCTTCCTTGCCGGTGATCAGTTGCTCCGGGTGGAACAGCTGTCGGTAGGTTCCTGTACGGACCTCATCCACCACTGTAGGCTCCAGGTCAACAAACACGGCGCGGGGCACGTGCTTTCCGGCTCCAGTTTCACTGAAGAAGGTGTTGAAGGAATCATCGCCTCCGCCCACCGTCTTGTCAGATGGCATCTGGCCATCGGGCTGGATTCCATGCTCAAGGCAGTACAGCTCCCAGCAAGCATTTCCTATCTGGACTCCCGCCTGACCAACGTGGATCGAGATGCATTCACGCATATTGATTTTTTACTGGACGATAAGTTATAAAGTTACTGGTTTCCTGTTATAATTTCTCACACGCGACTACGAAAAATCAACGGAAAAAGTGTAGATTTGGGTTCCGGACTCTGCGAGCGTATACTTTGGAATGCCCGAAAAGGGATTTTCAAAAGACGGAAAGCACACGGAACTCTTGGGTGTCACAAAAATAAACTTCACGATTCGTCAATTTGGATATTGAATGTCGTATCAAACTAAAGCTGAATACGTTTGTTTGCTTGAATTTCTTGTGCGCATCATTGCTAGCTCTTGGCCAGAATTGTGTTACCAACGTCAGAAGGATTCGTATGCGATTGTTTCGGAGGTATTTACCAAATTTAAAGATCAGTAAAATTTCTCAGCATAAGCACGCTTGTTAGGTAGTTTTAGTGTGACCGTGGAGGCAAAATTAAAAAACGCGATGTGGTTCATAAAAAATACCAGGTTTATTTCTGATTTTCAGAATTGAAATATATAATCTATTGAACAAATATTTCAATGAATTGGAAAAAAATACAATAATAAAGCATTCATATAGAGAATAAACCATTACAGAATAAAAAGGTTTTTGATTATTTAATGGAAAAGTATGTGTGGTGTTTGTTAATAGAATATGCTAGTTTATTTTTAAATAATAAATAGTTTTTGTTTTATACTTGTCAGAGTTAAAATCTTTGAGTATTTTTAGTTTGCCATACATTTGCTAATTATTTTTGCATATTACTGGTGCATCCATTACAATGCTCGTTTGTTTTTAGTATTTCTTGTGCGCAGTATATTTTTGGGCCTGCGCAGATATCGATCCACTTAGCACATATCGATTAAATGGGCGCAAAATTGGCTGAGTTTAAAATAGTGCATAATTTTGTCTTTGTATATTTAATAGTAAAAGTACTGCTATAGTAGGCGTTTGATGTTAAATAATTTTAAAGGCATCATAGTAGTCTATGCGATTTATGGTGTGTCTAATCTGTCATAGGATTGACATGAAGGAATCGTGTATATTATTGAGGACTGTTATTATTATAAAAGATTCTTTGTATTCGTAAGTAAAAGTACATAAATGGGGAAACAGAAAACCAATTAATTATTTATTATTATATTATTTAGTGTATTTGCACTCAAGTAATATTAATTTACGCTAGGGTAAAAAATTTATATAGTATTTATAAGATTTTAAAATGCCCTTTCTCTTAGCCTTTCTCTTACCTATCGTATATCAAGCAAAACATTTTAAAAACATGCTTTATAAGACTGTAAAAAAGGCTGAGGACTCCAGCCAGCTGCTTCTGAGCCTGAAGGACCTTTTTCTGTGGCGCAATATACGAATAACCTTGATCACCTTCACGAGCATCCTGCTCCTGCTGTTGGACATTATGGTTCACTCGGTGATCAGTGTGCTCAGCATGGCAGGGATAACTATACTCTTGGCAGCCATTGGCCATCGTCTGTTAATGCAGTTGTGGAAGGCCTGGAAGAAGGACATAAACCATAAACAGATCACACGTCTGTATCCTAACGTGAAGGTCGAACTTTCACGGGAGGAGGCTACTAAACTGGCCGAAATGACAGTTTTCCATATTAATTCAATATTAAACCGTATGATTGGATTGTTTCTGGTGGAAAAGTGGGAAGACACCTTCAAGTTGCTGGTGTTGCTCTGCGGTATTAACTTGCTAGGTGACTGTTTCAACGGATTGACTTTGCTAACTTTTGGTAAGTTAGCGAACATATATATATATATATATATATATATCCATATCATATATAAATATGACCGCTTTTTATTTTAGGACACATATCAATTTTTACACTGCCAAAACTGTACGAATGGTACAAGCCCATGATTGATGCCCAGGTCAGAAAATTCCGAAAAAACAAGCTGCAAGAGAAGAATGAACAGAAATCTATTACTGAAAAACCTCAATTTGAAGAATATCCCTCGAAGGAGAATGATGAAATTCAGGAATCCAATAACTCCAACATACTATATAATGTCTGCAACAATGAGCGGCTGTTAGATCTTCTGGAGGCGGAGCACCGCAAAGGATGTCGCTGTCGCGACTGCGAGCACCAGGACTTGCCCATCGAGGCCCACTGAACTGTATTTATCAGTTAATAGTTAAACCCATTTAGTTCTGTTCAAAATTTGTGTTGTGAAATTATATATTAATTACACTCTTAGTTGGCCATCATAAATATTTCGTTTCTTGGCTTCAATCATTAAAATTAATTCGGGGGGAACTTCGAATATACCAGATCGAGTTCTCCGTTCGCCTTAGGTCATAACGTGGCATTCGATTATGACATGTGGAAACTCTACCAGCCGAGTAGTCGATGTCGTATTAAATGCTGGCAATTTTTAGGAACTTGTCTCAGGCATTTTACCTGCCCACAAGCAGGTGATACGGACTCAAAGGTTGTTGAGCTTTCAGTGGGAAAAGTGAGGGGTCGTCGGCAGTGTGGAATATACGGGAACGATTTCTATAGTTTCGAAGGAATTCCGTTTGCCAAGCCACCACTTGGGCCACTTCGTTTTAGGGCTCCTCTACCAGCGGAAGCATGGGATTCAGAGCTGGATGCACGACAGGAGAAGCCAATTCCCTTGCAAATGGATAGGAAAACATGCGAAGTCATCGGCAGTGAGGATTGCTTGTATCTCAACGTGTACACCAAGCATGTAAGTAATCTCAGTTTATATTTTATATAAGGATTTTGGTTAGGCTCTCTATTTAGTAATAACTTTGTTTAGGATATAGGATCCCTTATTTGTAGGGAATTAAGTTAGCATACAACAGTGGATGTTTGTTTTGAAAATATTGAGATTTTATTCCTGAAAATTCAATCATTGTCAGTTAGTTAAAAACGTTGTTATGCCTAAATTAATTTTGAAAGTATTTCAGAGAAATCTAAAAGAGTGGCACTCCGGACTGTTTCAAAAACTGATCGTGGAGCATTAGCTTAGGCATATCATGTGGAATAAACTTCAATTCCTCGTTAATGTTAAGGGCCATTAATGATTCAGAGGTAACAGGTTTCCAATCCACAAGAGGTTTTGTGAGTGGTGAGTTAGGATCCGATGTGGCTGCAAAGTGCACCAACATTGATACCATTCGTAAAATCGTTATGAACTCTGGACGAGATTTGTCCAATCTGAAAGTGGCCGGGAGTACAAAGATATAGCCTAGCTCATCAACATGTCCAACACCGCGCTGTTCCGTTCCATGGTAACGAATCCGGTAAAAGTTGAAATCCGGCGAATCGAAATCAAAACGGTAAAAATATGTCGGGGCCTGGCCGTAAGCCAATCTGGATTGGATTAATCGATATAGATTGTGGAAAAAGTTATGGGTAAACATATCAGTTATGGCATCGAAATGATCCAAGTTCAGTTGATCACCATGCGCCTGACAGAAATATTCCAGCATTTTAACACCCATCTCTCGTTTTTGGATGGGATCACAGATGTTCTTAAGATGAGAGGGAATCACGCGCTCGGGATATTCCTGTAGCGTAAGCAAGACTTTGGGATCAGTCTTAAGATCGACTACGTTCATTAATCCTTCATTAGTATTGGCTCCCAAAATAATAGGAATGCGATTGCTCCACGTGTTTCGGTGTAGTTCTAATGGGTTCTGCCAGGAGAACAGCATTCGGAGTGGAATAGCCCTCTTTACAAGGTCTGAAGGCCATAGAAATCCCATGATTCTTCTCCAATGGAGTAAAAAAATTCGAGGAGACAAGAAGATGCGGATCTGCCTTCAAAAGGTACTCTAAAACCTGGCTATCGATGTTCTCTCCTTCGTATCCCAAATGCTTGGCCAGTCGATATTCCATATTGGGCAGCCGATCCAACTCCATGGAAAAGCCCGCCATAAGGATGGCCTTGTGGAAAAGACCTTCCGTTTGTGGACTGGCTAAAAGAAGTTGAACCAAAGAACTCCCGGAGCTGTGGCCGAAGATAGTTATTCTATCCGGGTCACCATTGAAGTTGGCAGCATTTGCCTTGATCCACTTAAGTCCCAGTATTATGTCCTTCAGACCAGCATTACCAGGAATTTCGAGACTAGGGTCCTTAAAACTAAGAAAGCCTGAAAAAAGAAAAATATTGATTATGTTTGTAATATTTAGTTTGATTTGTTTTATCTCACCTAATGGTCCCAGCCGATGACCAATGCTTATATAGACAACGTTTTCCTTCATAAAATAGTCCGGACTCCATGCCCGTCTCGAAGAATCCCCGCCCTTAAAGGCACCTCCATGGATGTAAACCATTATGGGCATAGGATCGCCGATCAGCTAATAAAAATATAATATATTGTATGGCGGATACTTATTTAAAAAATGTTTGATTTTCAAACTTTAATTAGCGTAACAGTGGGCATAAAAGTGGGTGTGGCCGGATGGTACCACCATAAGATGCGCTGGCATCCCAAGATTATACATACTGAATTTTAACATTCTAGCTCTAATAGTTCCTGATTTAAGCGATTTTAGTTTTTGGTGATTTGTGGGCGTGGCAGGATGCGGAAATAAACTTGCGCTGTCCCGGAACCTCAAGAATCTTCATGCTTAATCTCAACTTTGTATCTGCTATAGTTCCTGAGATCTCAGCGTTCATACGGACAGACGCACATGACTCAACCGTCTTCGCTATTGATACTGATCAAGAATATATATATTTTATAGGGTGGGAAACGATTTCTTCTACCTGTTACATACTTTTCAACGAATCTAATACACCCTTTTACTCTACGAGTAACGGGTATAAATATCTATAAATTGAAACTCACCTTCTTCACTGATATATTCAGATACAGGCAATCCTCGGAGCCCTCCACCAAATCGGTTAAGGAGCTAACTTGTAGGCACTTGTTTAACGGCTGGGAGCAATCTTTAATACCACTCCATGGCTTAAGATCGTGAGGCTCCTTAAAGCGGAGAGTTCCAAGCGGTGGAACAGCATATGGAATGCCATCAAAAGCATAGAACTCATCGTCATAGATCCCCTTAAGAAGTGTTCCTTGCACTTTGCCGTGGGTCGTTTGGACCACTGGGGAGGTTTCACCACTATGCATTATAATTAAATTATATGAATATATGATTTGGCCGGAAAAAAAATCTTCTTCGACTAGTAGAACGACATTTCCGATCTCGAGGGGGACTCAACTTAGAATGTGGAAAATTTTGGAAGAACGAAATTGCAGTTAGATAGTAGCTGCTTATCAATCTTAAAACAAAATCTTAACTTTTACGATGATAGATTATATGCAGATATCTAGGGAAGTAATTTCAAAATTTCACAACATAAAAACAAGGGGGTATTTAAAGATTTTTTTTATAATGATAAGGTTTTATCTTTCAAGTCCATAGGTTGCAAGAATTTATAGTAAATACGCAAATGAAAGATAATAAAAGACTAAAACATATTTATATTTCTCTAATATTAATAATAGTTATACATTTCCTCTTTTCCGATTGATGAATCTCCTAGTTCGATGAAACGAAGCCACCCCTGCCCGTTATGGTGTACATCTACGGCGGAGGATTTCGCACGGGAGGAGCTATTAAGAGCAAATACGGCCCGGACTATTTGATGTGCAAGGATGTTGTCTATGTGCTGTTCAACTATCGACTTTGCTCCCTGGGTTTCCTTTCCATGCCGAGTTCCGAGTCGAATGTGCCGGGCAACGCGGGACTCCAAGATCAGTTACTGGCTCTTCAATGGGTCAAAGAGCACATCCAGAAGTTTAATGGAGACCCGGAGAATATTACGCTGTTTGGTGAGAGTGCTGGGGCTGCCTCGGTGCACTTTATGATGTGCCTGCCGCAGGCCAAGGGTCTCTTCCATAAAGCCATAATGATGTCTGGATCGATGTTAAGTCCATGGGTCGATGCTCCCGAAAAAGAAAGCTCATTTTGCCGGCTAGCCATGGCCGTTGGATATGAAGGGCCCGCGGAAGAGTCCTCTCTACTAAAATTCCTGCAGAGTGTGAAAGCAGAGAAGCTTATCGGTCACGATTTAATCTCAGCCCGGGATCGATGCTTTGGGTTCCTCAACGCCTTTACTCCTGTTGTGGGAGGTCTTATTCAGGCTCCATTTCAGCAGCTGATGAAAGAGGCGTGGTCCTGTCAAGTGCCCCTGCTTCTGGGTGGGACATCCTTTGAGGGACTGGTTTGCTATCCATTTTGCCAGGAGAACAATGGTTATGTGCTGGATCTGCTCAAAGAGGAGCCTGCGATGGTTTTGCCCTATGATCTTTATCAGTCGATGAGCGTCGAGGAGCGAAACATCGCTGCGGATGTATTGATTAAACATCACTACGGACCACGCGGAATCACCAAGAGTAACATTACCCAAATTCTAGATGTGAGTAATAAAAAACTATTTCTGACTATGACTGTCATTAATTTTAGCCTCATAAGCAAAAATATGACATTCATATATATACAAATTATCTCCTCAGCTCTTCAGCTACAAGCTGTTCTGGCATGGCATCCATAGGGTAGTCCTCTCCAGATTAGCCCACGCCCAAGCACCCACCTATCTATACCGGTTCGACTTCGATTCGCCAAAGTTAAACCTGATGCGAAACCAGCTCTGCGGTGACGACATCAAACGCGGTGTCTGTCATGCGGACGACTTGGGTTACATATTCCACAAGCAGGGCCAGAAGAAGCAGCCCTTGGATTCTGCGGAATACCTAACTATTCATCGCATGGTGAGCATATTGACGACCTTTGCCCGGAACGGCGATCCCAATTGTTCGGAGACGGAACCAGATTATTGGTTTCCCGTCTCCACAAAGGCCCCTTTCAAGGTGTTAAACATTGGACAGGAGGTGGAGTGTGTCACGCAGGCCGAAAAGGAGGGTCTGGAGGTGTGGAATAGTCTTTATTGTAACGCGAAATAATGCAAAATATTTTACTATATTTTTTTTTAATAAATATTTTATAAATGGTATTCTTTTTTTTTTCATAATTAATATTAATTTAGCAGGTAGAAGAAGGAGTAACTACCCTTTACCAAATGGTACATATTAAATATGTAAATTTAATAAAGACCAACATGATCTAAATTTTAAGACAATATTTCTTTAATATATATCTTTAAATTACGTTATAAATTAATTTTTAAAAGTGAGATGGAAACTATGCCCACTGTCTAGCTTTTATTCGCTAAAGCTGATCCAAAGCTTTGCGGCAACGCCCCACTCCATCAGAATGCTTTGTGACCGTGTAAACAAAAACAAATCGCATCAATTTGTTTACACTAGTTTTGCCGGCGCGATCCAAATGTTGTTGACCCACTCAGTGGGCGGCCCCGCCCCCCTTTTCGCCTTCAGTTAGTACCAAGAAACTTCAAGATAGTTAGGCTAATAGTTGCTGTTAGAAGAGGTAAGTTAGAACAGGTAATAGAGCGGCCTAGCCAAGTGCTAAGGTAAATTATGATACCTAGTTTCTTCTTACCTGAGATACATATCCATCTTGAAGATACATAACCAGGGGATTCTGATACTCGATTACGGTTAAGCAATTTAGTATTTTAATAACTCTTATTTAAAGGGATTAGGTATTTTTTTTGCAGTGCTTATTAATTATGCATTCTGCTAGGAGGTGTTGCCACTCCCCCCGCCCAAGTTTCCAGCCGACAGCCCACACGCTCCATGATCGGCTGCAGCTATATCAGTTATTCCCTTTATCTCGGGTCCGCACTTGAAATCCATTTTGTTGTATTCTTTTTGTATAAATTTCATTCTCTCCACCGCTCTCTGCGCTCCTCTTTTTTGAGTAATTTGTATTCTGATATTTGTGTTAATGTAGTATATTTTTTTTCTATAACCTTTTTTACTTGTTTTTCGCCTATTTTGCGCGCTTTTTGCCGGACGCTCCGCCGCTGGAATCCGATGTGAAAAAGTGTGTTTTTAATTTCAGTTTCTGTTTGGCGCTGGCGCGATACAGTACGCAGCTCGTGGCCATAATTATATACATATATATATATATATAGCAAAATCGATCGGATCGTGTGTGGTGAACTAGTCTATAGTCGATATGAACAAGAACCTCGGCTTTGTGGAGCGCCTGCGCTGGCGCCTCAAGTAAGTTTCGATGTTAACCTTAATGCCAGACATTTTTTCGTTTGTTATTTATTAAATTATTGCTTATTAATGCGGAGAGTCTTGCTTTCTATACTTTCGATTGGTGCTGTGGTAGTGGGTGCCTTTGTTGTGGTTAGCTTTGTCAATTGTGGCGGTTCGTGCTTCGAGTTTTCTGTTTGTTCAGCTTTTTTTAGGACTTATTTCGTAGTAATTTTACTGTCATGCATGAGTAAGTCTTCGGATGATGGGAATTATTAATTTTTAGCAATCTAATTGCGGCGGTTTCGCAGCCAGAAGATTAGATTTTAAAGAATTACGCAATCGTGATGAGTATGGGTAGGGTAAGGTCATCAAGGAACTTCGATAAAATTGTATTTGATTTAACAAGATTGCGAAGTTATTATTGAAGATAAAGGCGAATGGCGAGCAATTTGTAATAATAAAATACTTTCATAGCTTTCTTATGCTCGCTTTACCATCCAAACATTATGAGTAACCATAATTATTTATATGTGTCATTTTGCAAATCATTTTAGATGATCGAAAACGTTAACTGACAAAGTTTCTTCGCGTTTTATTCGAAAAAGTTGTTGCCGTGGTAATAAAAATGTCACATATAACCATTAATCGGTTCAATTCATAAATCTGCATTTATTGCTTAATCAGTATAACGTTTTCGATGTTAAATTTATAGCCCCATATACTCGTTATTACATGGCTCGCAATTTAATGGATATTAAAACGAGATTCGATGATACTTGCTTTGCAAGCTAGCAGACATCTGTAAAATCAACAATGAGGGCTGCACCCTTAGATCTCAAAAAACGAGTAGCTTGTCAATAGATGATAGCATTAATTAAATATTGACTTGGCCACGTTGCGGGACCATAGATAATTACTTAATTCTCAAAGTCATCATCCTCTCGTCCGGTTCTTATCACGCTTCAGCCTTGATAATGAAGTCTGTGTTATTGGTAAAAATAGTTTCAGTTTCAAACCGTTTCACTGGTGTTTCGCTTTAAATGTATAGCTAAAGCCTATAATTGGCAAATTAAAATTTTATCACGTTGACAGGCAAATAGGTGTGATTTTTTTTATTGCCTTAATGTAATGTAATTATAAGTCTGTGTAGGGCTCAGAATAATTATCAGCAATTTTTCACATTATATACATTGTTAATATTTTTTATTATAAAAACCAACACAACGCTATTAAAACCTAGTAATTTTTTTCAAATTTAAGTGTGTTTTATACGTAAATAAACGAACATCGCGACCTTTGTGATTAAAGACATTTATTTTTAAAGTGAAATGAAATAATTAAGTCCCCTTAAGAGCATGGCCTGTGATAACAAACTGACAGCTGCTGATAAGACAGAAGACAACTGCTTATTATACATTCACAAGATTATGACCACATTTTGATGGTCATTAATGGTCCAGTCCAAGGGGTTGACTGAGCTTCAACTTCAAATGATTTAAGGGCAGTCCTGGGCTTTAAATTTCGAGTACACTGCTCCACTGGCCACCAGTAGCAGCAGCGGACTGTGTTAATTTATCACTGACAGACGTGCCTGGTTAGCAGGTGGACCACACAGTTGACTGCACCACCTAAAACCGGGTGTCCAGGCTGAGCCGGCAACTATGACTATGGGTACACTTAAAAAGGTGATTCTGTATTTGGATTTTTAGATTTAACTCAATAAATATGTGCATTAAAATATTTTGGGTTTGGTTTTGTGATTCCTTAATTAATCTATCTGTCTGTTAAGTTCGCCCTTTATTTCCTTAGTTTACCGAATCAATATCCTTTCAGTTTATACATGAGTAGACTTTAAAACCTTTTTCAAAGTGTCTCCATGAAGCTGAGAAATGGGTTTTGAATGGGCTGGTATGGGCTGGTCTGGTGGATGCGATGTGATGAACATCAGCAAAACAATTTAAATTTAATGCAATGCATGCAGTCTGCCCAGTGGCATGTGGCTTTGAGAATGAATTAAAATAATTGACTTTGTGACAAAAATATCAAATTATCCGGGTGCTGGTCGAGCCCAATATTGTTATGCTAATTATATGTATCATCATCATTGCAATTGCAGAACCATCGAGCATAAAGTCCAGCAGTATCGTCAGTCCACCAACGAGACCGTACTTGCTGACACGGAGTACGGAAAAGTGCGGGGTGTGAAGCGATTGTCGATCTACGATGTACCCTACTTCAGTTTCGAGGGAATCCCCTACGCCCAGCCTCCGGTGGGGGAGTTGAGATTCAAAGCGCCTCAAAGGCCTATCCCCTGGGAGGGAGTAAGGGACTGCAGCCAGCCGAAGGATAAGGCTGTTCAAGTGCAGTTCGTTTTCGATAAAGTCGAGGGTTCTGAGGACTGCCTCTACCTGAATGTTTACACTAACAATGTGAGTATGGAAAACATAAAGAGATACTTAAATAAATATAAATTTACATTTTCCATTGAGACATACCTCTGATTCGTTCGATATAACATTCCATTTATTCTATTAATTTTACTAATTTATCAAAATGTTTGCTCCACGAAGCTTTGCCAAACATATTTACGACTTCATTATAATTTTTATTATAAATAAATAAATGCAATAAATCAGTTTCTGTTTTGGTGAATCAATCTATATAATTATTTATTTATTAATAAATTTTTGTAGGTGTATAAAAATATGTTTCTCGAGTCGGATGATTAGATCTCAATTATAATTAAAAAAGTCTTGATTTTTAATATCTTACATCAATTGTGACCACAAACTTAATCCACTTTTTCATAACATTAATAACTTAACTTATCTTAACATAACTTTTCATTCAATTTAACTTCTAAGAATAAACATTTGCTACAACACACGGTTTTCTTTTCAGATAAAGATAATTAATGTATATCTTAAAAGAGTAAATACTTTTATAATATCTTCAAATTACACATTCTAAGCAAAAGATACACTGAGCTTTGGAAGAGATAGATTGTATGACTTTTTTATATTTTAATACTTATTGTGTAAATAATAAAACCTTATTTTTAAACTGTTTTAAATTTAAAGGTAAAGCCAGATAAGCCCCGTCCTGTTATGGTTTGGATTCATGGAGGTGGCTTTATTATCGGCGAGGCCAATAGAGAATGGTATGGCCCGGACTACTTCATGAAGGAGGATGTTATCCTGGTCACCATTCAATATCGACTTGGTGCTTTGGGTAGGTTATATATTGTACTAGAAAATTCTTGTACTAAGTCTTTAATTACCCATATAGGCTTCTTGAGTTTGAAGTCACCTGAACTAAATGTACCTGGAAATGCTGGTCTCAAGGATCAGGTCTTGGCCCTGAAGTGGATCAAGAATAATTGCGCCAGCTTCGGTGGGGATCCCAACTGCATAACTGTCTTCGGAGAAAGTGCTGGAGGCGCCTCCACTCATTATATGATGATTACCGAGCAGACCCAAGGACTCTTCCATCGCGGTATCCTGCAGTCTGGTAGTGCCGTTTGTCCATGGGCCTACAACGGCGACATCACCCATAATCCCTACAGAATAGCCAAGCTGGCTGGCTACAAGGGGGAGGATAACGACAAGGATGTACTGGAATTCCTGCAGAATGTGAAAGGCAAGAGATCTGATTAGGGTCGAGGAAAATGTCTTGACTTTGGAGGATCGCGCGAACAAGATTATGTTTGCCTTTGGGCCTTCGCTGGAACCATTCAGCACGCCCGAGTGTGTTATACCTAAGCCTCCAAAGGAGATGATGAAGACGGCCTGGAGCAACTCCATTCCCATGATGATTGGAAACACTTCATACGAGGGTCTGCTGTGGGTTCCGGGTAAGAAGATGTACTGTTTTATTTTTAATGAAACTAAAATTTCACTATTTTAATTAACAGAGATCAAGATGATGCCTCAGGTGGTGCAGCAGGTGGATGCTGGTACTCCTTTCATTCCTAGGGAATTGCTGGCCAAGGATCCCAGTAAGGATAAACTGGATTCGTGGAGTGTTAAGATTCGTGATGCTCATCGCACTGGAACAGAAAGCACCCCAGATAATTATATGGATGTAAGTGATTTGAAAAGACTTCTTCGTTCATTTATGACTACATTTATGACACTCTCCAGCTCTGTTCGATTTACTACTTCGTTTTTCCGGCTCTGAGGGTGGTCCATTCCCGTCACACCCATGCCGCTGGAGCTCCTGTATATTTCTACCGATATGATTTCAACTCGGAGGAACTCATCTTCCCTTACCGCATTATGCGAATGGGTCGTGGTGTTAAGGGTGTGAGCCATGCTGATGATTTGGCCTACCTATTCACCAGCCTTTTGGCTCGTCGATTGCCCAAGGATAGTCGGGAGTACAGGAATATCGAGAGGACTGTAGGAATCTGGACGCAGTTTGCTGCCACGGGAAATCCTTACAACGAGAAAATTAACGGCATGGACACTCTGACCGTAGATCCAGTTCGCAAATCTGATACGGTCATCAAGTGCCTTAACATCAGTGATGACCTGAAGTTCATCGATCTGCCTGAGTGGTCAAAATTGAAGGTTTGGGAAAGCCTTTATGACGACAACAAAGATTTATTGTTTTAAGGGGAAAATAACTCTTTAGTAATGTGTATATATATAGGACAAAATGCTTTATTAAATAAATGTTACGATATGCTTGTTTATTACATTTCAATTTCCCATAATGACCAAAACGTTCTATGTGAAAACCATGTTTAATAGCCAAGAATTTCTCATAGATAAGCATAACCCTTTTTCTAACCTATCCCAAACTTTTTTCTGAGCCTACCAGTTCGTATGCAAAAAGATTTGCCAGACACTTTCGACTTTTTTGTCAGTTCTCTATGAAAACAATAGAAAAATTACATTTTTAGACTATTTTAAATTGAAAGGGTTTTTTCAAGACGCAGGGAATATAAAGGAAAAGAATTCCGATCCCGTTGATAGAATGGCTGCAACTCGTCGTCTGACCCGGGAGCTCTCCGACCTGGTTGAGGCCAAGATGAGCACTCTGCGGAACATCGAGAGCAGCGACGAGTCCCTGCTAATGTGGACGGGACTCTTGGTTCCGGAAAAGGCGCCTTATAACAAGGGCGCCTTTCGCATTGAAATTAATTTCCCGCCACAGTATCCCTTTATGCCGCCGAAGATCCTTTTCAAGACGAAGATCTATCACCCGAATGTGGACGAGAAGGGAGAGGTGTGCCTGCCCATAATCAGTACAGATAACTGGAAGCCCACAACGCGCACAGAGCAGGTCCTCCAGGCCCTGATAGCCATTGTCCATGACCCAGAACCAGAGCATCCGCTACGTTCTGACCTGGCCGAAGAGTTCGTAAAGGAGCACAAGAAGTTCATGAAGACCGCCGAGGAGTTCACTAAGAAGAATGCGGAGAAGCGACCAGAGTAAGGTCAGCCTGCAGTTCACATTATTTGTATTTCAAAATTAAATATATTTTAGGCCATGAAAATCAACTTGTCGGTCATACTGTGTAATTTTATTTTTTATAATGAGATACTCCGGGTAAATACAACTCAATGACTAATAACTAATAACAGATAATAATAATATAAATAATAATACAATTTTCCGATGGTACACAAAATACTTGCTAATAAATTTTCCAGGTGTAACCTGAAAATTGATCAAACTATTTTTATTCTTATCGGAACTAAATCAGAAGTCATCATCGCATATATACTTGATCAGAAGTGCCTCAGGGCTGACAAGTTATTTATAAATCCAAGTGCCTAGCATTTTGCTGGCCTAGTTGGTTATTGAATAAGTTATGGGGGATTGGGCAGACTAGCATTAGCCTAAACCTTTTGGAAATAACACTAGTGCCTTTAAATAGCTAGAATATAATATAAAAAGTGTATTAAAAGGTGTTTATGGTCCATATGAGATGATATTTAAAGTATAAACTAACCGCTAAACAAGTTCAAAACGGCGTCAACAACAGGGAATTACTCTCGATGACTTTAATTGACCAATTAAGTTGTGAATGAAATTTGTCATATAAAAATGAAAAAAGCGGTTTCAACCATGCTTAGTAAAAAAGCCATCACATGGAAATAAACTCGATACAAACACGTTAGTTTGCGTGGCTTAGTAGGGGTAAAATGGCTTTGTAAGTCGATATAATATTCTATAATTACGCGAACTACATTTTCCTGGTTTGGCCTCTCAGGGGAAACTAACTCAATTAGCTGTGAGTAGATTTTGATGGCCAGAAATGTGCCTATATCGATTTCATGAAATACCTTTGTTCTATTACCATTTCAGCCATTGCTGATTCTCCCAGTTACTTTGGTAATTGCATATTGTAGATTTATCATGGCAATTTCTAAGGGCAAGAGAATCGTCTTCATCAGCACTCAATAAAATTACCGGAATTATTGAGTAATGCGGAAAACTGGTTTGTTATTCACCCTGAATAAATTAATAAATAAAACTGAATGCATTTTGCAAGGTAAGGCAGCTTTTGAAGTGTATCTTTATGTCGGAAAATCCGTTTTGTTATATATAAAATATTCAAGTGTATATATTTATTCATTGTTTATATTTATTTGGGGATATACTTCTTCTAAGTAATCTGCTTAAAAACTATTTCTGTATAAAAGTATAAATAATGTAGGTGAATAATTATAAATATTCTTCTTTTAAGTATTTAATAAATAATTGATTAAGTGAGTAAATACTCATAAGTTGACTCTTAATTTTGTGTAACTCTTCGATGAGTTTGTCCATTATATCCAACTGCATTAAGTGCTTACCAAAATGTCACATCTATCACATATGAATATTAAATTAAGTACACCCAAAAATGATATATTAGCTGTCATAAATACTATAATATTTTGAGATGAGTAAAATGTCGCCTCATCAGAAATTACAACCTTTTGCCTTTAACTTTCTGAAAACAATATTACTGTTCTTTTAAGTTCACGGCTAATATTGATGTTATTTCATATTGATTCATAATTTCTAGCTCACTAAATGCAATCCTTTTTATGGTGCCCGGCAAGAAATGCCCAAAACTCTGCCCGCATAACAGCAATAACATTAATAACATTGGCGGAGGGCTGATAGGCGAATACTACCGAATGCTATAAACAATAAACAAAGCGGCAGCAACAAAAACGATAACGCCTAAACAAAACAACGGCGCCCAGCACGGCCAGCAAGCGAACTCACTCGACCAAACCGAATGCCCCAAGGCATTTGTTTGAGTGCACAGCGCACACAAAGCTAGAATATCACTCATACGACCCCGTGGCCAGTACGGAATGGGCAAACGAGTGGAAAAATCATCATCGACAAGCTGCTTGTGCTTGTGCTTCTCTGTGTGTGAGAATGTGTGTTTGCGAGTCGAACGTCGGCGGGCACTAAACTTAGCCGGCGCTTACTTTAAATGCTCAGTTGCCGAGCGGACCCTGAGTAAAGCGCAACGCCAGCCTTAGATTCTCAGGCTACAAATTAGTCCCAGTTCCCGCAATAAAAATCCGGTGCCTTTATTTCAATTACTCCGAATCTGTGAAATCAGAGCAACAAGTGATGTGACATTGGGTTTTGTGAAGCAAATAAAGCGAGAACAGAAAATAGTGAATTCAAATCTCGATTAATTCCGCTTTAAAACAAAAAGCAACAAAGTAAAAGTTAAAAGGGCCGGCAGCTGATTCGACTCCCGTTACGCATTCGCCCCATTGTCCAGTTGCGATTTTTATACATTTTCCGTGTGTGTCGCCCGCGTTTGTTTTCACTGGGATTTCGAACAGCTTTCCAATTGTGTTTTGTGTATTTAATAGTTTCGCATATATAGACCAATATATCCGGAAGGGAATCGATTGTGGCCGCGGGCGTGAGACCACAGCAAGATGTCATTCGATATAGCCGTGGCCGATCAGATGCGCATTGCACTGAAGTAAGTCAAACAATTCAGTTTAAGTGAAATCGAAGGATGTTTATTCGTAAAGTTTATATAGAAGTCTTGTATTCAGCAATGTTTCACATATCGATTTTAGAACCTAAAGAATGTTTTATATTTTGAAATAAATAAGGGGACTTATCAAATTGAATAGTTCTGCAAAGAAAAATATGAGAACTTTAGCGTGTCGGAGACTGTATTATATTATAAAAATAACTTGACGATAACCTCTCGGATTTCACACAAATTATTATTTAAATTGTATTTCAAAGTTGTTCCAGATAACATCTGGCATAGTTTTAAAAACACTTATTTGATAAGCTTATTCTGAAATACATTTTTCTGTACATTTCGGCAAGAAACATTCCGCAGGCGTGGAGTCTAGTAAATTCACCAATCAATAAGGTCAATTGGCGGGATCCACACTCTTCTGTATACTGTAACCCATGAGTTGCCATGACCATATGTGTCTCAAGCCGAGAAGCCCCGATAAGAGAAGTTCGGCCCGCCGAGCATCGATTCTTATCAAGAGATTACAGACTGCTCTGGCAGAGACCCGAATCCGGTTCACCATTTGGGTCTTATTAATAGTCATAAAGTCGCCGATAAGGTCTCGTTTCTGCATCCGCATCATCGGCATTCGTAATAAACAAATCGGAACGTCATCAACTCGAAGTCTCGTCGAAAAGATTGGTAATGAAATTCGTCAAGCGATCAGCAGACATCTGGTGTGGACCTTGTCCCCCTCCGGCATTACACATCAGTTTTAGAAATCAATGTCGGGGCTCTTGAGTGCGAAAAAGTTCAAGCGAATTATGTCGAAGCAGCCGCACACGATTGATAAGGGAAAACTCGCAGTAACTGCCTCTGTTTGGGCCAACTATCAATTATCGGTATCAAGCATATAGACTGATAAGATTTTAAACTACCCTAGCTTATGATGGTGCGTCAGTAAGTAGATTACCAAAACCTTTTGCGATCCTCTGATATAAATCATTTGCGGGACAGCCCACTCAGCTGAAATAGTTGGAAAAAATAAATACGTTTTTGTTTCTCACATAATTAATTTTTTTTGGTGACGATTAGAAAAATTATTTAATAAGAATCACGTTTGGCAAATGTCAAGGCAATTACACTAAGTTGCAGCCTCAGCGCAAAAGTTTTAGCTTGAGAGTAGAGACTTGGCCAAAAGCAAAGAAGCCCAAGAGAAAAAAGCAGTTAAAAAGTTAAACGAAGAAGTCAGGCAAGGTAAACAAGAAACGAAGAAGTTCAATGGACGAATGCAAATCGACTTTTATACAACAAACTTAAACTTTAGCTTTGTCCGCGCCCTCCAATAAACTATTTGCTGGTCTTAAATGCCTAAATTTATTTCTCACACTTCAATTTTTATTTCCAGTCTAATTGTCCGTATCATCTTAGGGTATTCAATTGCGTTGCTAATTGAAATAAATTTAAACTTAATTACACAAAAAATTTCTATTCAAATATTAATATTTTTCTTAATAAGTCAGCAGTCCTGAAAGTTTAAATAACTAGAAGCTGTTGTAAATATTTTCTTTCGCTGTTTCGTCAATATTTGAAATTGTTTTTAAGTAAAAATACGTTAAAAGTAAATATAACAAGTTTGATCAAAAATCAACGGGTTTCTATAACTTTCTGCATCGCTTTACACACGAATGCTTGAATTTGATAGATGGAAAATATGAAATATTATACTTGCCTTATTTTTGTTTTTGGTGGAAAAATAATATTGAATACTGAATGCACTCAAGCAAAATGCCATTGACCTGGTTGCAAGGCTTTGATGCATGGCAATATTGATTGATTTTCCGAAATTTTCCATTTTAATTTCCATTTCACATCCTCTCATTCGTATTTTAATTTGTAAATATTTTGAGTTGCCAGTTGCACAGTTTATTTTTCTAAAAAATACAGAAAATACAAACACAAACACACATGCAATTATGTTTGAAATGAAATTGAATTTGGATTTCCTTAATCTGTTCATTTTGATTCCGAGACCATTTCTCCACCAACAATTTGCAGTTCATACGAGACCAGATTATTTAATTCGCCATGCGGATGTGGAACACCATTTGCTGCGGTGAAAAAATAATCTAATTCCCCAGTGGAGGACAGAAAAAGAAACCAGTTCTCCGTCAAGAATATGGTGGGTTATTCAAGAAATGGATATTAGGGCTCGACCTCGACTGGCAGCTTGCAATTAGCACTTGTTCTCTAATAGATTGCATCTTGAAAAGTGATTTCCACTGGAATTTCTCAAGGCTGCGACTGCAAAACCCGCCAGAAGTAGACGCTGGGCAGCTGTTAATTAATCGCTGCCTCTGTTTACTACTCGTAGACCCGTTTGCTCTCATGATTTGTGATCGTTGTACTTGACTTTTGTCTGGGCTGGGCATTTCATCTTCTTTACTTTATTTCACTGTACAGCCATAGACATTTATGAGTTCTTCTATTTTGCGGCGGCGTATGGCGGTCTGTTGTGGATCGGCTCACGCGTCGTTTAGAGCGCACGTTCCCAAATGGAAACGCACTTGAAATTTGAATTGGCCGCGCCTCCATCGCTGTAGGGTATTTCCAATTCATCATACCCATTAAAATTCTATTAGAGAGCTTAGATTTTTAAGCGTTTTAATTTTATTTATAAAAATTGTATATTATTTCTTAACATATTTTGAAACAAAAGGTGAAAAAGGTTATAACAAGGTATCATTTTAAATCTATAATAAATAAGAATAAAGCTTCATTACGAAAGTTCTTATGAGGAAGTATCTAATATTTTAAAGCTTAAAAAAATAGTATAAAATTAAAGGTATATATTCTTTTTTATATACTTTTTTCGGCATATTTTAATGGTATTAAAATAAAAAGTTATTTTTAATATTAAAAAGGGAGTTTCTCATAAAATATTTTAAGATACTTTATGTTTATTTATAAAACGAACTTTCAAATAGCTTTTTTGGACTTATAAAAACGCTAACATTACGTAGTTGAGTATCCCTACATTTATTTCTGCCGACTTACAGGGCATCACACTCCACATCACTTCGCACACACATTCTATTTTCACTATTGGCTATTTATATTTAATTTTGTTTACGCGCTAATTGAAAATTCGCAAAAAAAATACTAGAAACACACCGTCAAGCGTTTGTTTACAAACAAAATCGAAAGCGAACGCCCAAACACTTCGGGAGGTGTCTTTGCCAGCAAAGTGTTTCTGACTCTGCCGCCTTAAATGTATTTTCAATTAATTTATTTATCCAATTTCCCTGCAGCTACGTCAAGTTCAAGACAAACCAGCAGCGCCTGCGCAGCAATGACAAGGTCATCGCCGACACGGTCTACGGCAAGGTGAAGGGGGTGAAGTGGCAGTCGATCTACGGCAACAACTACTACAGCTTCGAGGGCATCCCGTTTGCCAAGCCCCCGGTGGGCGATCTCCGTTTCAAGGCGCCCGTGGAGCCCGACCACTGGACAGAGGTGAAGAGGTGTACACGGGTCCGCTCTAAGCCCTGTCAGGTCAACATTGTTTTGAAGCAGGTGCAAGGCAGCGAGGATTGCCTGTATCTTAATGTCTACACAAGGGAGGTGAGTTGAAGGAAGCAGGTTTATTCTTACCTTTAGGATTTCTAAGCACTTTAAGCATTTTAATTTGTTTTGATTTTTCAAAATGAGTTTTTAATAAAAATCTTTTCGAACCCGATATTGCTAGATAAAATGTGTTGATAAAAATAACGTAAAATCATTCGTTAAAACCGATTCGTCCAATTAGGTGACAGACAGACTGACGAAAACCAAAAGTCCAAATGATGAAATAGACTATGGTTATCAGCGTTGTTGATCACATTTGTTAAATTTACGATCCATAAAAAAGACTGTAAACGCCTGATGATAAAGAACTACTTCTACTGATTTTAAAGTTGATATATTTAGTGGTTATCAATGAATTTTTGAAAGCACTTTCTTTCACCTTATAATTCTTAACGTTGTGGTTATATTTTCCTTGTATATTAATTAGTTTACTTATTTCATTTTTCAAAGCTGCATCCTCACAGACCTTTGCCGGTTCTGGTTTGGATTTATGGCGGCGGCTTTCAAATGGGCGAAGCCTCGCGGGATCTCTACAGTCCGGATTACATAATGATGGAACATGTGGTTCTGGTGGTTATATCCTATCGCCTAGGAGCCTTAGGCTTCCTCAGTCTTGAAGACGAAGAGCTGGATGTTCCTGGAAATGCTGGACTCAAGGATCAAGTGATGGCCTTACGATGGGTAAATCAGAATTGTAAATTCTTTGGTGGCGATCCGGAAAATATAACCGTTTTTGGTGAGAGTGCTGGAGGAGCATCCACTCACTACATGATGCTGACCGATCAGACAAGAGGACTCTTCCACAAGGCAGTAATAATGTCTGGGGCGGCTCTGGCACCCTGGGCTCAGACTCCTACTCATATAAATTGGCCCTATCGCTTAGCCCAGGCAACTGGTTACACGGGGGAAGCAACGGATCGGGATATATTTGCTTATCTTAAGAAGTGCAAGGCCAGCAGTATGCTAAAGGTGGCCGAGGATATTATCACTATGGAGGAGCGTCATCAGCGTCTGACTATGTTTAGCTTTGGACCCACAATCGAACCCTACTTGACCTCACATTGTGTGATTCCCAAGTCCCCACTGGAAATGATGCGCGACTGTTGGGGCAACAGCATTCCTATGGTCATCGGAGGCAACTCCTTCGAGGGCCTCCTTATGTTCCCTGAGGTTAACAAGTGGCCTGAATTACTTTGCCAGCTGGGTAACTGCGAAAATCTCGCTCCCATGGATGCCCAGCTAAATGAGGAGCAAAGAAGAGCCTTCGGCAAGCAAGTGCGGGAGCTATACTTTGGCGATAGGACCCCTGGTAGGAAGACCATATTGGAGTACAGTGATGTAAGTTGAAAAAGATATACAGAAATACTATTAGTTTTAATACAGAAATTTAGTTTTTAGAGTTCATTTTGAAGCATTTAGTGTTAACAAAAATCCTTACTCTAAAGGAAATTAATATTAAACTTCTTATTATTATTTTTCTAATAATATTAACATCTCATCTCCGTTACAGCTCTTCTCGTACAAATATTTCTGGCACGGCATCCAAAGGACTTTGCTCTCGCGTGCCCATCACGCTCCATTGGCTCCAACGTTCCTATACCGCTTCGACTTCGACTCCAAGCACTTCAATATCATGCGAATTATCACCTGTGGGCGCAAGGTGCGCGGCACCTGTCATGCTGATGATCTATCCTATTTGTTTTACAATGCTGCTGCCAAGAAGCTAAAACGCCGCACAGCCGAGTTCAAAACAATAAAGCGGCTAGTTTCCATGGTCGTTCAGTTTGCAATTTCGGGGGATCCCAATATCCCGATGGTCTACCAGGATGAGAAGGAACAGCCGCAGGGTGCGTGGCTGCCCATTTCTCGGGAGGATGAGGTTTTCAAGTGCCTAAATATATCGCACGATGTGCATGTGATTGATTTGCCCGAGGCCGAGAAGCTGCGACTTTGGGACAGCATCTACGACAGAGAACTCCTGTACTGAAAGACCCAGCCATCTGCCTTCGCCTAACACTCCCCATCGCAATAACATTTATCAATAGCAATATAGCCTTATTCGTAGGTATTAGCCCCTAAGCTGGCCCTGGGGTGGCCTTAAAAGCACATCAAATGTACACATGTAAATAGTGATTTTTTAAAGCCTAGCAATAAGAGTAAATACATCAAAATATATACACAAACACGAGTTGGTAAATATGATGTTTGCATGAAAATTGGCCATCAGACTTCAAAGGCCAAGGTAAGTTATTTTTGCATTAACGCTAAAAATGGGAAAGAATTTTTTTTTGGTAAGAAAGAAGTTAAAAATATTTTTAAATATATATTTTTATAACAAATAAATGAGGTTCATTATACAAAAATGTCAGTCGATATAATTATTAATTCAATTCAAAATAATAAAACAAAATAAATGAATTGAGAAAATATATTTGTTGTGCAAAAAAATGGGTACAAAATTGAAAATATTTCTAAGAAAAGCCTTAGCATAAGCAAGACGTTGAATATTTTTCTTATAAACAAATAGTCAATTTCAAACATTTTTTCATAACTTATTAAAATCCGCTTTATTAATCTTGAAACAACAAACTCTGATATTTTTTACAAAGCTGCACAGAAATTTAAAAAAAAACCTGACATTCGTCAAAATCAGGCTTAATCATTTTCAGATAAACATTTTCAAAATTTCCATGATACGTAAGCAACATTCTTATGTTTCTTGTGAGATATTCGTCCAAAAAAATTTCTGTTCATTTCCTATTTTTATTTTCTGAAAACTAAAATTAGGGTTCAAAAATTCTTGGCATTCACTTAAATCCGGTTTAATCATCTTAAGATAAAAAGTGTTTCAGTTTTAGTAAAAATCATACGTAAGCAACACTCTTGTGTTTCCTGTTCAAACTTGCTTCCAATTTTTTACTGATAAGCCGTGAAACCCCTATTGATTCTGTTCTGATTTTAAACAATTTCTATAAATAATAAACTGTTGTGCTTTATATAATAATAAAACGTTTGTAATACTTACTTGAATTATATAAAATAGTTAAATTATTAGGAGTAATTAAACTTAGATAACAAGCGCTTTTTCAGCTATATTTGTATAACAATTATTACCTATTTTTCTTAAATGTTTTAAAAAACATTTTTTCTACTTTAAAACAATCAAAATTTTAAAAAATATAATATTAAATGAACTTAAATCTGGTTTTAACCATTAATTTGTTGTAAAGTATATATTGAAATCAGGAATTATATTTATTTTTCTCTGCGGAAAACCCATTTCAGATTTTTTCTTAAGAATAGGTAATTCAAACTTCAACTTTTACAACTTGTTTACCACATATCACATCATTATTTTGGTCTTGTATCATTTTTAAAATCATCATCGCTATTAGTGTAAATCATATTATTTGCAAGTTAAAAATTGCTGAATTCTTACTCATTTTTAAAATGTATATTTTAAAATGCCCATTTTATATCCCGAGTTCGTCAAAAAATACATTGATCTGATTACGATTTTGTGTGAGTGACACAATCACGCTTGTGTTTGCATGGGTTAAGCCCATGCTAAAGCCGCTCATAAAGTATGCAACATGTTGTGATATTAAAAATACTTAAACGCTCAAACATGACAATATTAACACCTGCACAGGGACGAAGCCACGCACGCATACAGATGATGGCTGTCAAGTGAGAAAACCTAAAGCCCGCGCACACCTGTCCACAAGTATATATGTATAAATATATATATATATGAATATGTATAGCTTCCCCATTACAAAATCATATTGTGCCTATGTGTTTGTGCCTATGGCAACTTCAAAGGCCGCTTAAACACAATGCACATTCACACACAGAAATCGTTAGCCTGTGAAGCTGCCACATTACGCCCACAACTCCCAACCATTAATTGTAATTAAAAACTTACACGTGCTTCAAATTTACTAAGCTCGGTTGCGCTGACTTCCGTTGACCTTTGCCCGACAACGGTATTTTTTGGCATTTTGTTTATGTTATAATATTGTAATTATTATTTACAGGTGCTTAGCAAATTTGTTGGTACTTTCTGTTTTACTTGCTTGTTGGCAGGGCCAGCTTTTTTGGGATGCCTAAATTTTAAAATGAAATTTTGTGGCTGCCGCGAAGTATGCCAGGTTTTTTGGTTGAATTCACTTTGCCGCTGAACAAGATTTAAGGGATTATTTCGGTTTTTATGGGCGCACACATATACAATAAGTATTTCATCAGACTTGTAAATGTTACCAACAAAAATGAGAAATATGGTAAATTTATTGTACAATATAAAGTAATAAGAAAGTAAAAAAAGGGTTTAAATTAAAACGTTAAACAAAAACATAATCACGTGCTCTGCTCTTGCAAGCATAAAACAAATTTATAGGTATAAATAAAAATAAAATTATGTGGAGCTTTTAACTATCATTAATTTAATTGCATCCAAGTTCGAAATTCTTTTTCTAAAAGTAGACTCCAAGTTTACATTCTCTTTTACTAGAAATTTAATTTCCAAATCACTATTTCTCCGCAAGTAGAATCCTAGCAGATTAAAGCAAATTTCTCTGTTCATGTCGCCACAAAAACGCTCTGAAAGCGACAATATCAATACCCATTAAAGACGATTCCCTTCAAAGAGCTATCCCATTTCATTTAGCCCCTTCAATTCAAAAGAGACGTGTGAGGTTCCTTTTGCCCTTAAGTGTGTCAGAAGTTTGTGTTCGAATTTTAAAAATCACAGACAATAGTTTTGTGTCACGTGCAGAACCGAAGAACGGGAATGGTGCTTTGATGGCTGGGGGACATATTCAACGCCGAGCAGCAGGACCTCCCCAATTATCCTTGCACAATGCAAACAAAAACAAGGGCTCATGTTAACCGTGCGCTGTAATCAAGTCACGAAATGGCATGGAAAAGTCACGCGAACTGCCGGAAAATTATGACTTCGCCGGGGCGGAAAAAGGGGGACTCTGATGAGGGGGCGTGGCAGAGGGTCCACTTTGATTTGATTTGCCTTTGAAAAATTCATGAGGCAATTGTTGCGCCGCGCGAAATGCTCATGATTATCATGTGCGACTAGAACCGCTGAGCTGGCACGTTGTTTCCACTCTTCTCCTGGACATTTGATATTCCATTTACATTTTCTTAGCAGAGTTTGTGGCGGGGAAACACGAAAACAAGCTAGCAAGTCAGAAGATTTTTCCAGTAATGAATTTTTAATTCATCGGAATTTTTATTTTCGGGTAAAACATTTACTCACTGCCCTAAATTCCAGTTCAAAATGATGAGCCATTAAACAATCTTACCATAAAGGCACAGAGAGAAAGATATGTGCTATTTTTTAGATTGTAGATTATTTAAGGAAAATAAGCAAATGTTTAAATAATATAAAAGGAGTAATAAGTTTTACCCAAAATCTGAATATACATTTTATAAATATGACACATCCTAATAAGACTTCTAAAAAGATAAGTTGAGTATGACATATACAAATTATACTTAAAGAAGAGAAACTGCCTTTTCTTTCAGTGGACTTGCCAAGACATTATAAACAAGATAAACAAGAGCAGAAATAGGGAAGCAACATATGGCCAAAGTAAGCCACCGAAAACAGTATTCAGAATTGCAAACATTTTCTATTATTAAAACTTTTTCTGCTGCTGCTGATTGGAATCAGTTTGGTTTAATTAAAATCATTTAAAATCTAACAATGTGCGACAATGTGACGGCCTGACAATGCCAGAAATAGTCGTTGCCGAGTTGCACAAAAAACGACAACTTTATTTAAATTGATTTAAATGAATTAGAGAACCATTCGTTCATATAGCGCAAAAAACGTGCCGACCCCAGAGCACGCGATCGTTCCCAGAGAGCCATAAAGATATATGTATATAGAGATACATCGAGAGAGCACTTTAATCCGAACTGCGAGTCAACTATATAGAAGCTGATTCTGATTGAAAAGCTCATTTGGCGAAAAGCGCATGGCAACATAAGCGCCAAAAGTCACGAGAGTTTATATTACCCCCCGGCCAAGGTTATTTATTTAGCATATCATAAATATAAACAAATCTGTCGGCTTCATATATAAGCATGCACTGGGAGAAATTCCATGCTAAAACTTAGAAAGCTGATGGAGTTTGTAAATAAATAAATTTATAGAATTTCGACGGCAACCTGAAATAGTTAAATATATGATATTAAAAATAGTTATAGATATTCTTTGTATACATTTAATTTGTGAATTAACTTTCTATAATCAATTTAGATTGTTTTTCCTAGTGCATAAGCACACACATGCTCGCTTAGTCCATCCCATAATTTGATTAGGTGTAATCTTCGCTGATTACACTTTGCGGCGGTTGCGTGTCCAACTTAACTGTAAACTAGAACTGACCATAACTAGTGGCAATTACTTGGGGCAGACCAAATCGAATAGCACAATAATGCGAATCAAAATCAGTTTACCAGTTAAAAGCTGCGCAGTGAAAAGCTTTTTGTTTAACTTTAACCTAGAAAGAAGAGCTTTCGGCAGCAACAGGAGTCAAGTCCTTGAGTCAGCTGTGTTTATCCTGGCCTCCCTTATTTTGTTTTCTTCACTCAGCTTTGTTTACCTTGCCTCTAGAAGCAGCAAGGAAAACAAAAATACTCACTCCTAATGAATGACTTTTTACCAGGAAATTTGAGCTTACTGGTGTACATTTTAATTTAGGAAGGGCGACCACAAGAATAAGTTATTACGAAAAATATAAGTAATGTGACTTGGAATTTTTTTAATATAATTTTTATGTATTTTTATAACAAATAAATGAGGTTCATTGTACAAAAATGTCAGTCGATATAATTTTTATATAAATTCAAAATAATAAAAAAAAATAAATGAAATGAAAAATATATTTGTTGTGCAAAAAAATGGGTACAAAATTGAAAATATTTCTAAGAAAAGCCTTAGCATAAGCAAGACGTTGAATACTTTTCTTATAAACAAATAGTCAATTTCAAACATTTTATCATGACCTATTAAAATCCGCTTTTATAATCTTGAAACAACGAACTCTGATATTTTTTACAAAGCTGCACAGAAATTTAAAAAAAAAACCTGACATTCGTCAAAATCAGGCTTAATCATTTTCAGATAAACATTTTCAAAATTTCCATGATACGTAAGCAACATTCTTATGTTTCTTATAATTCGTACAAAGGAATTTCTATTCATTTTCTATTTTTATTTTCTGAAAACTAAAATGTAGGTTCAAAAATTCTTGGCATTCACTTAAATCCGGTTTACTCATCTTAAGATAAAAAGTGTTTCAGTTTTAGTAAAAATCATACGTAAGCAACACTCTTGTGTTTCCTGTTCAAACTTGCTTCCAATTTTTTTCTGATAAGCCGTGGAACCCCTATTGATTCTGTTCTGATTACAGCTTCCTAGAAGTTCCCTGCAATAAAATATGACTCACTTGCGAAATTGGTTCCACGCTTTCTTATCAAAGCATGAGTGGGCCATAAAGATTATAGCCGCATGACACCCCCATCAAACAAAAAAAAGGAATATTGCCGAATCAGCGAAATCACAACTTGTTACCCAGTACGAATCAATACGATTACTGCTATCTCTGGTTGTCTTTTTTTGTTTTTTACTTTTTTTGGACAATGATATAGTGGATATTTGGTGGTAGGACAAAGTCGAGACAGTTTGTGCCATGTAATTGGCAGTGAGTCAGTGCATTAGAAGTGCTCCCCAAACCACATAACGTACTCATATAGCGTAGCACTACTGAATTATATTGATAAGGGTTCGCGGTATCGGATCTAAGAAACGCTTTTATGTTTTGCTGGCGCACGAAAGCTTTTCGCCACGCTTAGAACTTTTTTGTGCTTTGGCGGTTGGGCAGTTGACGAGCTGCCTTCACGCCAAGCGGACGCGTATCGGCAAGACATGCCAGACGATATATACACAATATAGTACCATCCATTTGCCCACAAAAGCCACAAGCAAACTATATACAAGACAGACAACAATAAAGTGTGACAAAAGTTGATTCCGCGATTCGAGCAAAACGTTATGTGATATGTGTTGATTCCGGAATTTTTCGCATCTTGCGTTTTGATTTTCCAGGTGGTTTTCCCCCGCGTGTGCGTGTGTTTGTGCGCAGGACATAAAAGCTCTGTTTTTTGTTGATATACGCAGTCCTTGCAAGGCCATCGAACAGCTGGCAGTTCCTCAACTCGCTTAGGCAGAAAAACCAAAACAATTTTTATATAAGTATTTTTTAAATATATATCAAAAACCCAAAAACAAAAAAACATTTTGTGTAATTTATTAACAAACCAAAAAAGCTATATTTTGGCTGCTTTTCAAAGGCGGCTGTTAATTTGTTAATTGAACTCGAGCCGAAGAGAGACAGCTGAAAAATAACAACATGTCTTCCATGGCTGCATTTGATCAGTTCAAAATTGGACTCAAGTAAGTTGACAGAATGATGTATACGACTTAGCCAAGTTAAGTAATGAAAATGGCATTCCCTACTTGGTTAAGCAATAAATATTGCTTTTAAAGCCTTTTAATTTGCTAAGCTAAGAGTCGAATGAAAATCATTCCAATTATACAAGGCACATGACATCAGCGCATTGTGTCATCCCAACCGAAGCAAACTATATAATTTAACTGCACACCTCCAAAACCCACGGGCTAAATGAAAAGCCTTGTGGGTAATGTATATCGCAACTGACATACTTATGATTTATGCCCTGACCTGTAGGAAAACCACCCTAAAGTCAGCTTTAATTTCCTCATAACTTTGTCAGCAGAAGCAAGATATTTCGCTAATCAATCGACGACTTTTTGGAAAGAAAAAAGAATTACTTTTTAAGTCAATCCCTCCCTGTGAGAAAATATTTATGCTTGGTAAACAACATTTTTATGTTTTTTCTGTACTACGAATTTCACTCAGCTGGGAGCAATGAAATTGTTTTGGTCTTGCTGAGCAGCTGTTTACAATGTCCTTCCCCAGGGATGGCATGTCCTTGGCGCAACACGCATACATTTTTCATTATGTACGGGTGAACAATAAAAAACAGGAGACAGGTGGGCGGTGATAGGAAGGGTAGGTTTCCATTCCTAGATAGAACTTAGAAAACTACCCTATCTCGTACTACAATTTCAACTTTCAAATTAACAATGCTATTATTATAATATTATTGTTGCTCATTTTGAACATTAGAAAAATTCACCAACTGAAAATGTATATAATATTTAATCAATTATTGATTTTCTTAATTGAAATATATTACGGTGCAGCTTTTTATGGAAAATAATGAATATTATTACGTTGTGTGGGAAAAGCATAGGCAAAATCAATTTGTATATTTTATTTATTGTTTATTTGGGGAATTAATTCTGTGTAGTAAGCTTATTATTAGTATTATTAAACGTAAAGTGAGTAATATTAGTGAATTTCTATAGATATAATAAATTTAATCTGCTGACCAGGGCCCATTACAAATTTATTTCGTACAACTTACATGCAACTTTCCATCAGCAGACGAGTCCTTTAGGCTTCTTTCGGCCCGTTCTTCCCATTTCCCTTCTATTGATTCTATGAAATTGTAGTTTGTCTTCATTATGAGTAAACATAGATACTCACAAACACTGTTACACTGACACATACACACACACACACATACTCAGAGATACAAAGCAGCCGTCATTATATGAGTCGATTGTGTTTGGGGTCTTTGGCTCTCGCTTTTGTCTGTGGGCTTTTTTGCCGACACTTAAACTGCGCAAATAATTAGGTAGCAAACTAGAATTCCTCCACCATCCCGCTCCCAGATGTCTGCGGGATGTATGTAAATTATAATATTGTGTAAGCCGCCTAGTAAACCCATCAAAGGCTGACTCACATTTTGGGCTAGTGTGCAAAAAACAAAAAAGTAAAGAGGAATAAAAACTGTTTGAGATTTTTTTGTTAAAGAATGGAAATGGTGGTGAATGAGATCAGCCTGGTTTGGTGTCTAACTGGTTTCATTTGGGACCGATGATTTCATTGAATTTCAATAGCCATAAAGATGAATTGTAGCGCATGAGATGCCGGACCTGAAATGGTTTTTAATTTCTCTCTGAAATTGCTTTGCGATTATTCAGAAAAGTTTGCAACCTTTTATTTTTTTGAGAAGCGATAGCATTTATTTTTCTGTATTTGTTTAAAAAATTCAACATATCAATGGCTTGTATACTTTTGCTTTATAATGACGTCATATCACTAACAATTTTTTATGCCTTTCATTTCTGCATTTATTTGCATATTTAAATCGTTGTGTTTTTTGTGATTTCTGTCAGTCGAAATAAATTCACACACAGCCCACATTCAATCAATTTGGCGCATATAAATTCGCATAAAATGTATTTTCGAGTTTCATTCAATAAATGGCCTGCCTTTAAGTATTTGAAATTAAAATTTGGTCAATTGCAATTTGTTATTTATTGGCTGAAATCAATTTAAGTCATTGGCTTGATCAATTGACACAGCAAACTCATCGCTTGGCTGCCAATTAACCTTCAATTACAGACAATCTTTTCTCGGAATTCTTAGTTCGTCTGGGCACGTGCAAAAATCTCTTATGGAGGTATAAAAATATCTCTGGGAAATTCTTGGTCTTCCCAACATGTTTTCGCGAGATTTATCTGGTTGAAAGCGGTAAAGTGTTTTTTATTTTCATTAGTTGTGATTGTTTATTTTCTTATCATTACTAAAAACAGTTTTGCCATTTAAAATAAATTTATTAACAGATAATGATAAACAAATAAATTATTATTACTTCTGATTTTATAAATAACTTTGCCTTTTAAACCTAGTTACCCTTACAAATTATGTCTTCTACGGCACGATTGATCAGTCTTGTCTCAAAATTTGTTTTGCCAAATTGTTAATTTCGATCTTCGGTTTTTGATGCACACAAGTCATAGGGCAATTCTCATCCGTATCTATTTGATATCTTACAAGACACTTCAAAAATTATAACAAAGGAAAGGAATATTTAAAACCGATTTTCGAAATGCTTTTGGCCCGTTTAACCCATGTGCTGCCTGGGCGTTCGCTGCGACTTCTTGGCCAGACTGGAGGTCCACGTCTTTGGAGCTCCACCAAGCCTCAGATCAATAGTAATCCTGGAAAGGTTAAATCCATTTTGCCCAAAAGGGATATGCAAGAACTTCTGATGAGAAAGTATTCCAGAGAGTCGAGAGATCGCGACCGTTCCCACCTGGAGAGTCGAACCAGAGGACCTTCTCTGAAGGATCGCATGATGGGACCTCCCAGTGAAAATGCCTATTCCATGGGCAAAGGTGCTGCTGCAGGGGCAGCCTTGATGGGTCTTGTTGGTCTGTGCTACTACGGACTGGGACTCTCCAATCAGCCCAGTATCTATGACCATTCGGTGGTCTGGCCACAGTATGTGAGAGATCGTATCCATGCCACCTATGCCTATTTTGGAGCATCCTGCGGTGTGACAGCTGGATCGTCCTTTGCCATTTTCCAATCTGACGCCATGATGGCCTTGATGACGCGCTCCGGGTGGATTGCCTCATTGGTTACCTTGGGACTGGTGATGCTCAGTGGAGCCGTGGCCCAGGGCATGGAATATAAGCCGGGATTCGGGGCCAAGCAGCTGGCCTGGGCCGTCCATTGTGCAGTTTTGGGAGCTGTCCTGGCCCCAATGTGTTTTCCTTGGCGGTCCCATTCTGACCAAGGCTCTTCTCTACACTGGCGGAATAGTAGGTGCCCTCTCCACAGTGGCCGCCTGTGCCCCGAGTGAAAAGTTCCTGCACATGGGCGGTCCCCTGGCTATCGGATTGGGGATAGTCTTCGCCTCATCACTGGCCTCCATGTGGCTTCCGCCCACAACAGCAGTGGGAGCGGGGCTGGCCAGCATGTCTTTATATGGTGGACTGATCTTGTTCAGCGGATTCCTGCTATACGACACCCAAAGGATCGTGAAGTCAGCTGAAATGCATCCCCAGTACTCTACCCACCTATATGATCCGATTAATCACGCTCTCGCCATTTACATGGATGCCCTGAACATCTTCATCCGCATCGCAATTATTTTGGCGGGAGACCAAAAGCGAAAGTAATGGAAATCAAAATATTTGCACTTATTTGGCCACTTAGTTGGGGAATAAAAAAAAACAATTAGTTAAATCATGGGTTTAAAAGCTCATGCTAAGAGCTGTCTATTAGAGGTGTACTTCCCCGACTTATTAAATTCTGATCTGATTCAAGGAACGTAAAAAGAAACCCTCCGTTTAGCCACTCTTTTGATGACGAAAATCACAATGAATTCGCTTGGTCAGCTGTCTTCCCATCTTGAGAAATTTATTGTTTTAAGATTTCAGTGATTTTCAGCATTCTTTTGTTCCGAATGCTTTATTTCTGACATTGCGCATACGTCGTGTATAACCGTCGTCTCTGCAGTATGTGAATTTGTGGCGCTGGCCGTTCGTGCTCGCCTTCTATCTACCGCCCACACATACAGTACACCCACACAGCCACACACTTGTCGACTTGTCAATTTCATTTAATTTTGCCGCATTTTCTTTTTCTCTATTATTATTTTTACCCAAAAGCTTTTGTATGGCGAAAAACAACTTTTTTAAATGAATAAAAAAATGAATAAAATGAAAGAATTGCCGCGACAAGAGCAAGCATTCTGATAAACTTATATGTGTGCATAATATATGCGGGTATTATAAGGATTTTTCAATGAATGAGTTCACGTCTTAGCGCATTTTTCATTAAATTAAGACACGCAAATCAGTTTGAGTTGTTTATTAAATATATTTACGCTATTAGGGTTAATAGAGTCAACTAATGGCGATTAAATTATAATAAAATTTTATTCAATTTATGCTGAGTGTGTGTCAGGATTACCTGCTAAGGTCTGTGCCCACAAAATGATTTGCATTTCTAAAATTGATATTTATATTCTTTCCGTTGTTTTTTTTATTCCTACGGACTTCTTTAGGCTAAACATTTTCCATCAGCTTAAACTTAAATTCTTTAAAATTCCTTAATTTCTTGTTTACATTTAATAGCCTACTCACACATCCTTCAGATGACTCCTTGACCTGTAGCTAGACCATCTCCTTCCTTCAAAAAGCTCTGTCCTTCTGTAGGCTTTTGGCCTTCTTGCCAACCGATTCATTCATGGCGCCGAAGCTTTGATTCTGCAGCCCACACATCGAGCTTTTGGAGCCTTGCCAAGGTCATTGTAAGTGGCAAGTAAAGTGTCTAGAAATAGAAGCCAACTTTTTATGGCCACTTTGGGGCGGAAATTAAATTCTTGCTGCTTAATGTCTTCGCTTTTATGCGAACACTAATCATAACTTTAGTCTGTTGTCATCTTTTTGAAGAAACTAACATGACCATGACAGTCTGTCAGTCAGTTGGTCAGACAATATTTGATGTTGCCTTAGATTATATGGCCCCACATTTTCATCTATCGCGTGCCGGATTTGTCCTACGTCTGGCTGATAACACTCACCCACAGACAAGCCCGGCAAGATTACGGAGTGTGTTTGGGAAATTAATTGAATCATATGTGACATAAAGTCGGGCTTATCTCTCTCCCCTGAGTGCATAAAACACAAAACAAACTGAATTAATAATATTCCTAGTACTCTATTGATAAGATGATCTAAATACCAGGTTTGCCGGTACTCATTGTTCTAGTTTTTTATTTGCAAATAAATTAAAAATATTTATAAACCAAATTAATAAAAAAATATATTTTTAAAAAACCTTTTCGTTCTTATTTTTCGGATTAAATGTTATATTTATGTTGATTATTCGGTATAAAATGAAATATTTTAAATAATTTAAGTTTTATAAACATTTTTATTCTTGATAAATACCAAAAATGCCATGAAGTAAAATCCGGTCACTAGTACATCTTCTTAGTTCTCTTTCTTAAAAGAACGAAGATTGTTTTCTCAAAGTCTGAGGAATTTCTGAGTGGCTTTTTTCGGTTTTGCTGTCGTCACTTGTTGCTAATAAGCAGCTGAATATTTCCCATCTTAGTGTAAGTAGAATTTTCTTGTTTATTTTGCTTTGAATTTATCGGTGCATCGGCCAAGAACAACACATAAATCAGCTGTGACACACAAGATCGTTTGGCTTATATGCTTCCCGGCGGAAGCAGCGGAAAATTAAATTTTAAGCACCACTAAATGAGCCAACATCAAGTTTAACTATCTGCATACTTTGTAATTTGTTTATTTTTGTTCCTAATAAAAATAAAATTAACCGTAGACAGGGTGTAATATGTAGGTTCTATGAGCTTTTATCATTTTCAAAATTGCCCAGTGGTCAGTCCGAGCCATTTTGGGTGCGTTCGAGGACCTACGATTGAGAAATGACCTTGCCGCACGCAAGCCTGGCATTAGGACACCGTTTTTATAGCCGGGGCAGACCCGTCATAAACATTATTTATATTGACTTTCCTTTTTTTTTATAGGTGCCAACCATTAGCTTAAGCGTTCCCTGGCCATAACAATTTCCATGGCTAAGTTCAAGGGCACATTTCGAGATAGTCGGAGAGCCAAACTGCTCCGGATGTATTATTCACATCATGCGTTGGGGCTTTGACTTCCATCTCGACCGAAAAATGGGCAACAGCTCGTTCCGGCTATTAATAAACATAAATTTTGATATATTTTCGCTGCCCTTGGGCTGGCTTCAGCTGCCGATGACATTTGCAAACAACGGCAACGCGAAGAATACATATCTCTTGGCTAAACAGCAAGTGTTTTGTTTTATCTTCTCTGCCTAATGACAAATAACGACTACGTAGGCATAACTTAAAAGTTGAAACACGTTCCTCCTTTCGCCGGGTGAGCTCACAAAAACTATTCTGCTTTGCATCATTCAATCGAAAATGGAAATAATGACAGAAACGGTTTTATTTTGTATACATGTCTTGACCAATATGGCAGCCGATAAACAAAAGCCCCCTCATGGGGATCTAAAATCGGAGGGGATCTACGGAAAGGAAAAATATTTATATTTTCGCACTTTTGAAATTATTTTTGGGCACTTAATGTCTGGATGCCCCGAGCACCTTATCGCGTAACCTTGATTTCTTTATTTAGAAAATTAAAAATTGCACCTAAGATAATATGGGTTAATAGTTCGCCAAAAATATATAGCACATCATTCTATTTTGAAAGTTCCACATCTATAAACAATTTTTAAGTTTGTAAAGTGCCTTGCCAAAGGTTTAATACACTTTCGAATTTCAATGGCCTTTGCCTCGAGTTTTCGCACTCAAAGTGAATCATAATCTTTGTATTCGCGACACTGCAGGCTTTTTGGGTTAGCAGTTCCTAGAAGCAAAGCACAGAACCTGGAAATACATAACCCAGTTGTGATTGTTTGTCTAAAGTTTAGTACCCTTTGTATATCAATGGCCTACTCGCCCTTGAATTCCTACACTTGAGTTGAATGACTTACACAACTCAAAAAATTACCCGAAAATTTGTTTGGCTAGCAGTTTGTTTATCTTTTGATAGCAGGGCGCTTCGGATTCTGTTTGAATGCCACTCAAAATAAATAAGCCCGAAAACAGAAAAAATCAAAGCTAAAAATATAGGAAAATAAAGCAAACTGATTTAATATGAATCGCGGCGAGTCGTGGTGCCTGATAAATGGCGCACACCTGGCCCGTCAGCCACGGGCTGATAAAAAATTAACCTTATCAGCAGAACACTAAGCGGAAAAGAAGCTTCCATCAATATCAGTGGAGCTGACGTCGTTTATTGTCTTTGATTAATGACCACAAATTCCCTTCTCTTCCCTTCTCTCTTGATTAGGCTTAGTTCAATTGTTGAAAATTGGAAAATATCTTAAGGAATCCTTCTTTCTCTTGCAGAATGGTTGATTTTAAGGTCCAACAACGTCGCTACAGGACCAGCGAAAAGACTATCGTCAGCACCACCTACGGACCCATCAAGGGCGTCAAGAGAAAGTCCATCTATGGCCAGTCGTACTTCAGTTTCGAGCGGATCCCCTTCGCCAAGCCACCGGTGGGCGAGCTGCGCTACAAGGCACCACAGCCCCCAGAGATCTGGACGGAGGTTAAGAGCTGCACCTCCCAGGGTCCGAAGCCTCTTCAGAAGCATTTCGTCTTCGAGATGACCGATGGCTCCGAGGACTGCCTCTACCTCAATGTCTACACAAAGAATGTGAGTTAAAGTTCATTTCACGATGAAGATAAATCCCACAAGAACTCAGTCTAGATATTAGATTAAATTATTAAATTTCTTCTTCGCCTTAGTTATATCCCACCAAACCAATGCCTGTGATGGTCTGGATCTATGGAGGTGGGTTTTCAGTTTGGCGAGGCCTCCCGGGAGTGCTACAGTCCGGATTACTTGTTGCGTGAGGATGTGGTGGTTATTTCTATAAACTACAGATTAGGACCACTAGGTATGATAAGTTTTAAATTAGAAATTATTTATAAATATTAAAAATCAAAACCTTCTCAGGATTCCTGTGCATGGACGATCCCGAGCTTGATGTTCCCGGCAATGCAGGTCTAAAGGATCAAGTGCTGGCCCTACGGTGGGTCAAGGCTAACTGCTCCCGTTTTGGAGGAGATTCCGCGAATATTACCATTTTTGGAGATAGTGCGGGAAGTGCCTCGGTCCACTACATGATGATCACTGAGCAGACCCGTGGACTTTTCCACAAGGCCATCTGCATGTCGGGAAATACACTTTCCCCCTGGGCAGTGACTCCCCAGAGAAATTGGCCATATCGATTGGCTGTGCAGGCGGGTTACACGGGTGAAAATAACACCCGGGATGTATGGGAGTTCCTGAATAATGCCAAGGGATCCGATATCATCAAAGCCAATGGCGAACTGTGCATCGATGAGGAGAAGAAGGAACGAATTGGCTTCTCATTTGGACCCGTGATCGAACCATATGTAACCAGCCACTGTGTGGTACCCACGAAACCCATCGAAATGATGCGAACTGCCTGGAGCAACAACATCCCACTGATCATAGGAGGTGTTTCCAACGAGGGTCTACTGTTGTACTCCGAGACCAAGTCGAATCCCAAGTGTCTAAACGAGTTGGATGACTGCCGCTTCGTAGTGCCCATCGAATTGAACATGGACAGGGAGAGTGCCCTGTGCCGGGAGTACGGGGATCAGCTGAGGCAGTGCTACTACGGCGATAAGACACCGAGTCTGGACACCCTGCATGAATACCTACAGGTGGGTTTACCAGAAATGGTTATGGGAGTTTCCTTGCAGAATAATATTTTTTACATATAAAACAATTAACTGCATTTTTGATCACTTAATCAAGTTTAATTTCCTCTTTGAAAACTATGATTAATCCGCTGAGTAGTGGGCAGTCTAAATTAATCTCTTTCTTTAAAATAAAAACAAGTTAGAATGAGTTTTAATGAATAATTTTATGAATAATATAATGAAAATGATAAATAACATATAAGTAGTACAAATAAAATATTTCTCAAGTTGCTAGCTCAGATTACATTTTTTATATTGTTTCTAAGTTCAAATTATCACATTCTTTCTCATATCAAAATTATTTTGCTTTCGAAAATTCAGGGTGTCTTATTAATCATAAAGATATTTTAAGGATTGAACGTGCTGTGTAATAATAACTTAGATATAGTTTAATTTCTAATTATAATATTTATAAATTAATATCTATTAATGGTTTTCAAGGACTTGAAATTATAAATGAGCTTTGAACCAAATCTAAAACTTAAATTTTTCCAACAACTTTCAGATGGTCTCCCACGAGTACTTCTGGTTCCCCATCTACCGCACAGTATTGTCCCGCCTGCAGTACGCCCGAAGTGCGCCGACGTACTTGTACCGCTTCGACTTCGACTCGAAGCACTTCAACCACCTACGCATCCTGAGCTGCGGCAAGAAGGTGAGAGGCACCTGCCACGGCGACGACCTGTCCTATTTGTTCTACAACTCTTTGGCGCGAAAGCTGAAGAACCACACGCGGGAGTACAAGTGCATCGAAAAGCTAGTGGGACTGTGGACGCACTTTGCGGCCAGTGGAAACCCCAACTTCGATCCGGAACAAGAGGACCTGTGGCAGCCCGTCGACCTGGCGGCCATCGAGAAGCATCAGCTTAAGTGCCTTAACATATCCGACGAGCTAAAGGTGATCGATGTGCCAGATCTAAAGAAGCTAATGGTCTGGGAGAGCTTCTTCCGTCGGGATGAGTTGCTGTAAGGACCTGCAGGAAATCCTCTAGACTAGATCTGTAGCTTTACTAGTACAAGGGTGGGTCACATTTGGAGGGTTTAACTTATACTTGGTCTAAAAATGCCACAATTTTTGAATCTTATATTTTGCTCTAAGATATTTTGTACGACCAAGTTTTAGGTTTTTTTAAATTTAAGATTAAAACCACCGTTTTGTGAGAACTTTTGGTAAAAACTTGCAAAAACCAAAAAGTTGTTCAATATTTTTGGCATCCATGTGAAAGTGAACCCACCCAAAACGATTTATGATTCTAAAAGCTTTACGTTAGAGCCTCTGTTCGAAACAATGCAAAGCGTAGCTTTATCAAGAGAGTTTACTGTTGTTAAGTTTGTCAACGAGGAGAGTTCTAGGTGTGTTAAAGTTCATCCGCTTCTATCTATATCTTATCGGATCGAATCTGTAGTCTAAGCAGGCTGTTTGTATGTAGTTATGAATGAAACAAGTCGCAACCGATGTACCTTCTATGAGAAACTACCAAACCAACTAAACCAAACTAATCAAGACAGCCAAGGAATCTGAGCTAAGAACTTATATATATTTAACGTTCCTTTAAGTCTCGCTGATATCTTTAAAAAGCCAACTAATATCAAATGTATTTTATACAATTCAATTTATTCGAGATCGTTTTAAGTCTTAAGCACAAACTTGAGTTAGGAGTTCCATTCTGTTTTTCTTCTATTCAATTACAACTACGCACACATTTACAACAAGGAAATTTCCATTTGTGTTTCAAAGGAGATATATATTCGTATTTATATTTAACTGAGACAACTAGTTAACCGTAACCAATTTATTTATATTTGTATTCTTAGCCTAAGTCTTTTTAGATATTTAGCCTTTTGTATGCATAGGTTGTTTTTGGTAAAATGTTATATTTGAGGAAGCAAGCAGAGAACCTGTCCAAGTTTTACATCATTTTTAGAATACTAAAAAAATAAAACTAAACAAAAACTATTTATATGGGGAGTCGTTTATGAGTGTCCCCACGATGATAAGATGGCTAAAAATAGTTTGCCTAAGAATTCTCTATGTATCCGAGTCTGTTGGAAATACAAATTTATTGTCGAGAAGCTTCAAAGTCATGTGATGCAAAGAAACTATGAAATTTGAAAATGTATAAATCCATATTTTATGAAAAAAGAAATAAACTCCTTTGTGATTTGGAACAAAGAAATAAAAATACTTAAACGGGCTTTGTATTAGTTTTCAAACACAGTTAAAATGAGAAGATATTTGGTAAATCTGACAAAATTTCGAAACCTTAGCTTAAAACCGGATAAAACTATTCCACAATTCTTGACCAACTGGGACTGTATACAGCAGTAAGTATGATGGCTCGAGGCCTAATGAAATCAGCAAACTCAACATGTGCCTGCATTTCCATTATCACATCCATAAAACTTCCAATCGGAAAAATATGACTGCGGCACAAACCTCTGTCTGGCTCTCGTTTTAGTTATCGGAATCGTAATGAAATTGCCACAAATTAACGCATATGCGTTGATGCGAGAATTTTATACCTAATACAAGTCGCGAGATCAAATACAGCGTGACTAATTCCCCGCTAATTGGAGCCTTTATTTCTCGCATTCGGCTCGTTGCGGTGATTAGCTCTAATAATTGAATAATGCCATTCAAACTGAATGTCAAAGTAATGCAATCAATATTGGTTTGATCTGGTCGACTTATTGCCAGCGATTGAGGCAATATCTGTGAATCAGCTGCCAAGTGTTAATAGTTAGTGTAAACCCTTTTGACTAACTGGCTGGGTTTGGCTATTTCTGATCGTGCATCGGAGTATCAGTTATATGTGGCACTCGCAGCTAGTCAAGTCGCAATGGATGCACTGTTGAAAATCATCTTCTTGATCAGGTAGGTTCTTTAAGTCTCTAAAGATTCCAAAATCTCAAGGATTTTCTCTTTTAGCTTTTATTTTATGGCTGTTAGTCTACATTCGGCTTTCTGTGATGATGTCCCATCTGCCGAGGCAGATACAGTGGTCACTGAAAGTGAGGAACACTACACCGCCTCAGATGACTTAGATTTTTAATGGGTAGAAACAAAGCACCTTAAATCCCTAGCATGGCTAAGTAAATACATTACCTTTTATTGACAAATGTCAGTGGCTTTGTTAGTTTCAAAAAGTCAAGTTCACTGTCACATGAACGATTAAAATTAAGCAAACTTTGTGTGTTTACACAGCGGAAAATGGTTAAAAGTTCCTAAAATTGAATAAACATTTGGCATGTTTTTAAAACAAAATTTTGTGTTTAGCCAACTTCAGGAACCTGTAAGTTCTAAGGTTAAGCCTCATTTATGCCGCATTTATTGATATAATTTTGGTGTCATTTTCTTATCTCTGGAATGAATATTTCCTAGGTATTTGCTAAGCATTTCCTTATCAGTCGGTAGAATTCTTTATATGTCATAAAGTGGAGAGTCATTCTATAAAATGGTATGCCAGCCTTGAAAATTGTGCAATAATTTCAAAAGCAAAAATGTTGAAAAAATTTCTTTCTTAGTTTAAAACTAAGTGTCTGTTAATTTCAATAATTTAGTTAACTAGCTACACTACAATTAGCTTAAATAGAAAACAAAAAACTAAAAGCCATTTTTTAAATAAAGGCTGAGACTGCAAACTTAGGGAATAAGTAATGGAATTTATTAGCAAACATTATAGGTTTGGAGTTATTTATAGTCAAACCAAGACATTGAATAGATTATTTATAATAAAAGTTAAATAGATTTCATGTGAGTTGTAGAATTTTAAAAACAAAAATGAATACAAAATGATAAACTAATTTGTTTATTTTGTACTGTGTTGTTATTAGGGGCTATGCTCTCATTAGGAGGGCTTGCAGAAGCTTAAATAATAGCTGGGAATTGTAAATTAACTAAGTTCGTTTTCAAGGTGATCTTGAGACGTTGGTTTTATGGGTTAAATATTGAATTTGGGAGCTTGATCGTTATAGCAAATCGTTGTGGCAAAGCAATCAGCTTGTTGTAGGCGACTAAAAAGCTTTCTAAACAAAAGCTTGGCGTCTCAGCATTGCCAGCTGAAAAAAATAACTATTATATTTCAGGCTCTCAACAGTTAAATACCCATTACTTAGTTTTATAAACTTGTTTGCAATTTTTGATAAAAATATGAGTCTATGGATGTTAGTTGATAAGAATGTTTATAGTTTACCCACAAGTATATAATCGGCAATATAACATTAGATTAGTTCATGGGCAGTAAACGATAAAAAACGGTTCAAACATCTTCTTTGTATGTTTACATACATGGTAGTTTATTCTTATAAACAAATTAAACAATATTATGTTTGTTATGGCATTAGTTACATAGGTAGGAACGCTTTCTTTTCTCTGTTACAAAGATATCACGCATCTAGTTAGTCTTCTTACGCCGCGAGTAACTTGTATACAAACTCCAATCATAACAGTAAATTCGGAAAGTGAACCACACAACCGGTTGTTTTGGAGAGCCAGAGAGTTGTTAACAAAAAACAGCTGATTCCGGTGAGCAACGCTCACCGTTGAAAAACATCGAGAGACTCTCTCTGTTTTGAGTGGTATTATCATCTTCGTAAAAGCCCGATCGTTAGGCATCGGTCAGTTGGTGTCGCACGCTCTTGAGGAGCGCTTTATTTGTTCCGCTCGGCGATTAACTATCTTTGCTTTTCTAGCCGGTCTGTGTGCTAACTGGGATAGCATCGAGTTTATTGTGACACTTTCCCCAAATCGGCGTTTGTTATCGAAGCGTATATACATAGCTGAGGACGGTGTTTAACCAGTGTTTTTTGGGTGTTCATGAAAGAGAGTGCGCGAAAAGACATAGGACGAAATGGCCACGCGTTTTATGGATATACTCAAGCTGACCTTTAAGTGAGTTTTCCCAGTCACAGTTTCTCGTCGAGCGTTAAACGCTTTTCTGTGTTTTGAGGTCTCGCGTCTTGGTTTCGCAATAACTTCTGCCTAGCATGCATATAAATGCATACATGTGCACTGGGAGAAATGTTTTATTTTAAGATTTTTTTTTTATTTTTGGTTTCTATTTATTGTTGAGGAAAATATATATTTTAAACTAACTACAATTTTTATATTTTTATTTAATTTTCTTTTAGTTTCTAGAGTCCTAATGTAATTTTTTTAAATATAAAATACAAGTGACTAAGCTTTTTTTATAATAAAAAGTTAGTCATTTTAAAAAAACAAGCATTTATTTTTTACATAAGTTAAAAAATTAAGAAGAAAGACTCCTATAAAAGTTGAGTCCACTGAAAATTATAAAAAATATATTTTAACATTATTTTAAATTCAGTCATATTCGTCATTTAAATGAAAATTTAGATATTAACTTCAGTTTCCACGTTTTTTAAAGTTATTTACACATGAAATTAATTACGATATTTTTTAGGATAATTTTTACACCTTTTTATAACAAGAAACTTTTTTACACGTAAGATTTAGGACACAAACAGTTATTTTAGTTATTAAATCTGCTTTACTTTCATGATTTCTTTCAGTGTACTCTGTACACACATCAATTTATTGTCTTGCGTTGGTGAAATTGTTGCGCAAACTTTGCCACGAGTTTTGTTGTTTTTTTTTTTGTTTTTTATTTATGTATATATGTTGCTTGTTTTGTGTTGTTTTGCATAAACTTAATGATGCTGCTTCTTCTGTTGCTTATTGCTGTCCGTTTTGTCTTCGTCGCCTTTTGTTTTCCGCTTTGTTTTTCGCCCATGATTCAGCGATGCTTCCTCCGTTGCGGCATTCGTTAGTCTTTTTTGTTATTTTGATTCGTGTTTACTATTTGCTATTTTTTGCACGTTTTCGCAGGTTTATTAGCAGTTTTGCGGGTAGTTAGTATTTTTAACATAAATTGTTGCACAGCCACACACAATCGTGTTAATTGCGTGTATCTATATTTATTTATCACTATTTGTTTATGTGGCTTTTCAATTGAGGAAATCAAAGAAGTGGGTTAGGTCAGTAAGGAGTACTTTTAGCTGGTTTATAGATAAATTTAATATAAAATGTTATTATTAAAAACATTACATTTTCTTTGAAGTTTAATCTGCTTTGCTCCTAAGCTTATCTTATTAATGCATAGTCACAGCTCTTAATTTAATTATAATTGCAGATAAGGGTACTTACAGCTTAGGTAATCGTTTTGTTTTTTCACTCGTTAACTGCTTTAATATTCCCTGCTAGTTAAATCCATACATTAATGGATACTCGTTCTCTGTATTAGGCCGCTGCGACAAGTTAATTGTTTGTTTGACAACTCATACATATGCGGAATTATACTGATAAGTCATACGATGCCGGTACAGGGTTCAATTCACTTTCAGGTGATAGGTTTACCATAGATTCTGCCCTTCTAGCATGACATGGCAGGTTTGACTAGCTAGTTATTTCTCCGCACGATAGATAAATTTCTGAATAAATAAATAATCAAATACTCTTTTTACTATTAGTCATAGTATTTTGTTGCTAAGCAAATGGTTGTTAAGCACTTGAAATCTAATACAACTTTGTCGTACTTTCCTGCATATGTTTGCATTTCTTTGCCATACTGATTGAGTGCACTTTAAGCTCTGTTGATAAGATTTGTAAGTTTTTTTTGTGTGATTACCGAAAACAATAACCAGCTGCTTAAGCCGCAATTTGAATGGCTTTCTCACATAAAAAAAGTGTTAAACTTTAGGTTAAGTGAGCGCTTTTAGTTTAATTTATTACCTTCATTTGTTACGCTCAGCTACTTTTGCCTCTGGCTATTAGGCCATATAAATCGAAATTACACTGGCAAGAAATACTGTATTTCAGAAACAAAATGTTGACTAACATTATAGTACATACATATATTTGAAGTTTGCTTTCACAGATCCATGGCAGTCACGTAGTATCCAATCTGGTATATAATCTGATCTCGCCTTTCTCTCGATTCCAGGCGTAATTACCGATTTGTATGCATTCGTGTGCAGTGATGTCGAATCAAACTATGTCAGTGCATTTGCAGAATGCCAGTTAGGTATACCTAATCGAAGGTGCGCAGTGCGCGAGCCTATAGAAATAGGCCATTAAATGCATTAAACTGCCTCACGCCCACCCACAAATTAGCCATAAAAATCAGAGACAAAAAAATCTGAGGCATAAAAACAAAGGAGAGTTATAGAAAATAGCGAACTGGTCGTGCATGCCAAAACGTGAGGCGTTGAGGTTGGTCAAAAGCCGTTGACAATTCGCAAGACTTTCAAAGCAACAAAGACCTCAAACGACATTGAAAGTGGTTCGCCGGCAATTTGCTAATGGTGCTCGCTTTGGAGTATTCACTGTGGTCATGTCCCCAATGCGTGACTACTTCTGACCGGATTAGATCGCAGTCATTACTTTTATATAAATATTTTGAAGAGCAGCTAGGTATTAACGGACCAGCGGTTATTATGACATTTCCAAGAAGTTGGCCAGCCACTACAGTGGGCTTTTACGGTCGCATATGAAACGAGTATTTATTTCTTTACCTTGAACTTAGGAGACTATTTTCACTTATTTATATATCTTGTTGCGAAACCTGTAGTATAAGACAAGTACATAAAAAGGGGTATCTTAGTTTACTTAACTTTAACAAAATATTTTATTAACAAGATTAGAAATTGGTGACAACTAATATCTAACATTTCTGCTATAAATTTTTTTTTTGTTATAAAATAAAATTCTTTGCAATTAACATTGACTAATTGCTTTAGGCTTTCCCAGCAATTATTAATTAGGTACTTGGTCATAAAACACAAGTGTTAAAATTGGTTAATTGCTAGGCACCCAAGCACCCCGGGGCATCTGGATAAAAGCTACCTTTGCGACTTGTTTAAATTAAAAAATATTATAAACAATGTATGTAAATGGAAGTATTATTCCTCAACTTTACCTATTCATTAACTTTATTTGATTGAAATTTAAATAAAATTATAACCACATCGTATTTTTTACAGGGTTCTCAGTTTCAAGTACGAACAGCGCAAGTTGACCACAACATTATATTCTGTTATAAAGACGAAATTGGGACCAGTGCGAGGAGTGAAAAGGAACACCATCTGGGGAGGAAGCTACTACAGTTTCGAGAAGATACCTTTCGCCAAGCCTCCAGTGGGAGAGCTTCGTTTCAAGGCCCCAGAACCAGTGGAACCATGGGACCGTGAGTTGGACTGCACTTCGGCGGCAGACAAGCCCCTGCAGACTCATATGTTTTTCCGGAAGTATGCGGGTTCAGAGGACTGCCTCTACCTGAATGTGTATGTCAAAGATGTAAGTAATGAATGAATTAAGTTAAGAAGTTAGTTAATGACAGATACTAACTTTCTATTTCCAGTTACAACCCAATAAGCTGCGTCCCGTCATGGTTTGGATCTATGGTGGAGGATATCAAGTTGGAGAAGCCTCTCGGGATATGTACAGTCCGGACTTTTTTATGTCGAAGGATGTGGTCATAGTCACCGTGGCTTATCGACTAGGTGCCTTGGGTTTCCTCAGCTTGGATGACCCTCAGATAAATGTGCCCGGAAATGCTGGACTCAAGGATCAAATCATGGGCCTGCGATGGGTGCAGCAAAATATCGAAGCTTTCGGTGGAGATCCCAAAAATATTACACTCTTTGGCGAGAGTGCCGGAGGCGCCTCTACCCACTTCCTTACACTTAGTCCGCAAACAGAGGGACTCATCCACAAAGCCATTGTGATGTCCGGCAGTGTTCTGTGCCCGTGGACACAACCCCCAAAGAATGATTGGGCCTATCGTCTGGCTCAGAAACTGGGTTACACTGGTGACAATAAGGATAAAGCCATCTATGAGTTTCTGAGTTCAGTGAGTGGCGGGGAAATTGTCAAGGCCTCCGCCACAGTGCTCAGCAATGACGAAAAGCATCATCGGATTCTGTTTGCCTTTGGACCTGTCGTCGAACCTTATACCACCGACCACACTGTGATTGATAAATCACCTCATGAATTGATGCAGACCACCTGGAGCCACCGGGTGCCCATGATGTTCGGAGGCACCAGCTTTGAGGGATTGCTTTTCTATCCTGGTTAGTTTCGTTTTAACACTTCTTTCTACATCATTTTTATATACTATTATCTTTAATAGAGGTCTCAAGACGTCCAGCTACCCTAGACGAGGTTGGAAACTGCAAGAATCTGCTGCCAAACGATCTGAGTTCGAATCTGGATCCCAAGCTCCGTGAAAACTATGGACTGCAGTTGAAGAAAGCTTATTTCGGGGAAGAGACCTGCAACCAGGCCAACATGATGAAGTTCCTCGAACTGTGTTCTTACCGCGAATTTTGGCACCCTATCTATAGGGCAGCTCTGACTAGAGTCCGGCAATCCAGTGCTCCCACCTACCTATATCGCTTCGATCATGATTCCAAATTGTGCAATGCCATTAGGATTGTCCTCTGTGGTCATCAGATGCGAGGTGTTTGTCATGGCGATGATCTGTGCTATATATTCCACAGTATGTTGTCCCATCAGGCCGCTCCAGATTCCCCTGAGCACAAAGTTATTACTGGAATGATCGATGTTTGGACGAGTTTCGCTACCAATAGTGATCCCAATTGCGAAAGTATTAAGTCGTTAAAGTTCGCACCCCTCGAAAATGAAACGGATTTCAAATGCCTCAATATTGGAGATCAGTTTGAAGTTAAGAAACTCCCAGAATTGCAGAAAATCGAAGATGTGTGGAATAGTTTCTACGCACCGAATAAGCTGTAGATGCAGTGCATCGTCGAAAGGTTTTATAGCTTTAGGTTTCTCAATTCCATGGACTTGGATGATCTTAATTTGTGTAAATACGTTGTACATATGTTATGGTTATTTTAAGTTTGAGATGTTATTTGTTTAATTTGAATTCAAGCTTACAGGGTCTATTCTCGTATATGTTTAAATAAATAAAATGATATTTACATTTTTATACATTTAAAATATGTGTTAATAACTTTAATATATTAAAGTTAATATTAGCTTAAGGTAACGAGGTTCAAGAAGAAAATAAAGTTTTTTAGATAGATAAGGATCAAAGGATAACTGAAAAAATGTGTAGTTACTTTATTGAATATTTTAGTAAAACTTAAAAACAGGTAATATATTTAGATCTAAATTCACTAAATATGGCTTACTATCTCTGTTCAAATGCAACCCAAAATTCCTTTAGAATAGATCCTGCGAACAAATAGGTTTATTCAAAGCGCTTTCGTTTATTTTACATGTATTTTTAAAATATTTGCACTTCCGTGTCGAAGATCCGCTTAAAGCTTTAGTTTCGGTGTCAGTTGGGGACATCGTTTTGCTAAACCTGCCGGTTTTTATAAACGTTTATTTTCTCGCTCATCTATACGGCTAACACCAGGCAGGCAGGCAGGCAGACGGGCACACCCGCCCAGACCAACACCGCCCACTTGGCTATACTCGTATGCTGATGTGACATTTATGTGTGTAAGCCGACGCTTGACAATCAAAGGGGACAACAATTTCCGCAATGCCACCGCCAACAACAGGATGGCCAGGATGACACCAGGGAGTGTGTGGGAGTGTAGAAAGAATGGCAAAAAAATTCCATTAAAATTTTTGCAAGTTTTTAATTCGTTTTTTTTTTAGTAGGCGGTGGAGCTTTGCCGGAACCGGTCCAAAATGTTTGTGCGGTAAATGCAAAAGGGGTTTGTTCGCCGAGTGTTGAGGAGATGCGTGTTCCTATCAGCAACGTGAAAATTTCATTTCGTCGACGGGCGGGGCACTTGTAGAGAGTTTGGCCGATTTTTCGTTAAATTTTTGCTATATATAAAAATTTTTTTGTTCAGAATTAGACTGTGTTATGGTCATGGATGTGGCATGCGGCCGGCCGTGACCAACGGATGGATGAATATAGGGATATTCAAAGGGGGCTGTGCAGCAGGGTTAAGCGCCTGGATACCGTTCATGTGCACAGGGTGTAAAAATGGGCGTTAACTCAATAAATTAGATTTTTTTTCCGTTGCACAAAATTGTTTGAGAATGCGATTTCTCGTTTCACACATTCCTCTTTCTATTTCTGGCTCTGGCGTTTGATTAAATATTTTTTCAATTTGATTTTAATGAATTTGTGCATAAAGTCAGGTTTTAGTTTGAGCATGGCTTTTGGGTAAATCGTATATTTAAGTTTATTTCAATAATTATAAATTCCAATCAATTGAATTCAATTATTCTAATGTTTTTTTAATATGTTTTCTATTACATTTTGTTTGTTGTTTTCTATTTATTTTCAAAAATTTAAACTTGCAATGTAAGGGGTATTACTATCAATTTTTTCCTAATTTTTTTACTAAAAACAAAAAAGGAGATATTAATTTTTATCAATGCACATTTTATAAAAGTATCTTATTTAATTAAGAATTTAAACAACTGTCAGACTTTCATTTTTTTTTATTTTTATGGGTTTTGCTTGTATATTTTTCTTACTTAAATATTTATAAAATAAAAATGGAATTTCAGTATGGGATATTTAAAAATATGTTCAACAAATATGCCTGCTGTCACCTGGACTTTTTCATGTTTTTTTCTGTAAAGGCTTCATAAAAACGTTCGTTTTAATATCTTTGAATATTTAATACCTGTGAAGAGTGAAGGTAAATTTGCTTGAGCAAGTTCTATAAAAAATAATTATTTGCAAAGTGCCCTTAATGTAAGAGTTAAACATTAAAAAATGTTTAACTGCATTTAACCCAAATAGACACTTCATTTAAATTCGTTTTGGATGCTACATATTTGTGCAGTCAAAGCTTCGCGTTTGTTTTTTTTGAGTTTACATGATGAGGAATTTTTTACCGCCACCGCAGAAAAGTATGCAACGCATGTAAATGTTTTTTTTAGCTTAAATATTCTGCATTTGTATACATAAGCCATATTCATCCGCCGTGTTGCCACTTGTATAGGTACTGGTGGTTTTTTTGCCCCTTTTGCTTGTTGCTTATCGCAGTCACTCGTCGAATGTCTGATCATATTTGTTTGCGGTCTGAACTGCGGCGGCCGCTTAACAAAAAGCGGTCAGCCCACACACACTCACACACGCACACATCAACAACCACAATTATAATGGCCGACGACCATGGCAACTTTGGCGCTTATTGAAGTTCAACTTTTATCAAATTAAATTTGCCGGATTACAGGTATTTAGAGCTGAACAGTCTGTGGCCGGGGCTTCAGGCAATACAAGTGGCATTAGCGGTTGTAATTGAATTTCAGCTATGTGCATGTATTCCGGCGTTTTTTTTTCGCCGCGTCCGTTGTTTTTAACTGCGGCCTAATTGAATTTACTGCACATTTAAATAATAAAATAAGAACATAATAAAAGATTCTGGTTTGTGTGCGGACGCGGGATTTCATTGTTTGAATCTCTGACCATTAGGTTGGGATCTCCACGAACTCAACGCTTTTTCATATATTTTTATATCTGGTTTTTAAGCTTGTTGGAGTGACTTTGACAGCTTGTGGCGCAAAAAAGTTTATTCCTAATTTCCAAATTGAATAACTCATGCTGATGAAAAATAAATTAAGTTAAGTTTCAATGGAAATGGAGCCGAAAATGAAATAAATAAATAACATCAAGTTGTATGTAAATATTTATTCATTTCGTTTGTTTCACGTTGATTGATAGAGCGTACTTTTTCCAATGTCTGGTTTTTACATTTTTGACTATGGATCACTTATAAAACCAGGTTTTATTAAAAAAAGAAGTATTTGCTGACACGACCATTTTAGTTTTTATAAAGTTTTTTTTACTGGATGTTAGCTACAAATTATTCATTTAAATACATAATATTGGAACCTAACAAAAAGTTTTACAAGAATGACTTTTTACATTTCTATGAATATTTTCTTGAAATATTTACACAATATCGTAGAAAATGCTGAGGCACTTTCATAAGCTTCGAAATGTCATTCATACATTCTTGTAAGCCTCTGACCTCCAAGTTGCTCTTAGAGTCGAGTCAGAAAACGGAGGCAGGTGCAACTCAATTATGTTGCAAGCATAAATTATTCACTTAAGTGTCGCAAATTACGTGAAAAAGGTTGCCAAGAAACCGGGGGAACCGTTGACTGCGTTTTACCTGCAAAACACTTCGACGCACACGGACGCAACTCAATTTGAGCATAAATTTCATTTGGTCCAAGTGAAAACAACAGCAGCAGATTCCGGAGGAGCTGCATCCTCGCCGGCTTTAATAACAAACAAAATTTAAGTGCACATAAAGCGACTTGCAGGCAGCTGAAAGCCCGGCTCCTACTCTCCTCCTGGGAATGGAGTGCCGAAGGAGTTATGCACTCGAAGGATATGCTCAGCATTTTATGCACTCCCAAGTAAAGTTATTGAGTAATCAGCTTTAAAATTTTTCCAGCCACCCCATCTCCCATCTGTCGCCGGCCATTTGTTTGTTCCTTTTTGGCCAAAGTAGCAAGTAGCATGGGGCCAACTACATCCCCATTCCTGGCCCCCATAAAGTGCCCGAAATGTATGCCGGGGCACGTGGCAGCTGAAAATGATTGCGCGACATGCTTGGTTTATGCATTTTGGGTGCCGCAATTTATGTGGCGTTGGTGCTCCGGCTCCGGCATGGCCTCAAGATGCTTGATACTGCACTTAGCCACAGGCAGCGTGACGTATCAGTGCTAATAGGTTGGCTCTCTCCACATGAAGATGTGGCTAATCAGCAGGTGGATGCGTGGTCACTTAAGAAATAAATAATTAAGTTCATCTGCTTATGAGTAAATTTGTGATGTAAAAATAGTAAAAATTATAAATAATCTATAAAAGACTGAATAATTTAAAGAAAAAGTCGCTCGGTATCAAAAGAATGTATGCAACTTTTATAAAAATGTATATTTAATATAATTTATTCTCGTTTCCAATATATATACATTTTTTAAAACTGTTTAAGACGTTATTAGCTTCAAAATACGTATTGTGTAAAACGAAGCATTAACTTCCTTTGCTAATCTTCTAGACATCATGTTAGATTTTCTCAAACTTATTAATTCAATTGTTCACCTTTAGAAACCTTTTCCTTATTTTTTATAATTTAAGTGGAAATAATTAATAATGAATAATTATTTTATTAAAACTATTTCGTTTTGGAGTTTTCAAGGGGAATATGGCTATCAGTTTTTAAGCCCTAAATGTGTTTTTAAATACATAAGTTGTAAAATCGAAGAACTACTTACCATGTTTTATTATTACCATTTAAATATTATTATAATATTTTACTTCATATAGGAAAATTAGTTTCTTATATATATTTTTTAATATATATCTTCTTATTTTTCGTCTGCAAAACTAAACAGTTTCCCTTTCAAGGAGTTGCTCGGGGAAAGAAAGAACTATTATTTATTGGAGCTGGTTGACCAACAGCAACATAAATTAGACGCAGACAATGAGCAATGTAGCCTGCGCCTGTTTGCATGCTACATATTTTTTCCATCCAGTTCTCCTTGGCTCCTTTCTCCTGTGCCTGTGCACATATATTTTTTTGCATCTTACTTCAGCGTTGTATGTATCTGTTTGTGTCTGGTTTTTTTGGCAGTTCGCCGACTCATTAAGCCCAGTAATGACACTTTAACGCTGTGAGCACGTTCTAAGCTCCCCGGCAATAATTCATGCCACTGAATGATTTGTGGAGCCCACTAAGGGGCGAGGGCTACGCCGGGAAGGTGGGCGATATGGGCAGCCGTCGAAGTTCGGCCTTCGTTGAAGTGTGAACATAATTTGTTGGCATATTTCAGGTAAACCAGCAGGAAAAGTTCTTGCCAGCAGCTGCTAACACAGACAATGCTAAATTATTGAGCGGTTCGCTTTCATTTTTTTTTACCATCTTTTGGCTGTACAAAAAAGTTAAGTTAAGAAGTATTTTCATGTGAAACGGATGCATGGATTTAATAAACAGGTAAAGTGCACCAAGCCTATGAAATAATTCATTTATTTTATCCTTCTTAACTGTATTTTCTATAAATTTATATGAATTGTTTTTTCAGGATACATATAAAGGATACAGATAAAA